AGTAATAATGTATGCCATAACTCATAAGCAACGTACACCTTGCCAATATAGTTGCAAGTGGTGGCATGTAACCCTTTTTTTTTTGTTGGCTAGAGCAAGTGGTTGTATGTCATAATGCTCTTTATGTATATATTACCTTTATGTATATATTACTTTCATATTTTAATGTATGACGCCGTTGACTTTTTATCCAACGTTTGACCATTCGTTTTATTAAAAACTTTATGTAATTATCATTTATTTTATTGTGACTTGATTAATCATCAAATGTTCTTTAAGTATGATATAAATATTTTCATATTAAATTTTAAATAAAACGAATGGTCAAACGTTGGTTAAGAAGTCAACGGCGTCATACATTAAAATACGGAGGGAGTACGCACCAATGCGACCAAAATGGCTCATCAAGTAAAGTCAGCATGTGTTGATCACCCCCAAATGGCATAATATACAATAGGCAAATAATAAATTCATTGAATGTGTTGAATGCAACCGTGGCATATATATCAACCAAGGGAGATCGATCGAGAGAGAAGAAAATAAAATTAGAACAAGAGATTAATTAATTAGTATGAACTTACAATAGTGCTCATGAGTAGTCCTCCTTTGCTACTACTTGGATAAAAATTCCATTGTTTTTTATGAAAGATGGTGATCAAGTTGTTGGGTTGAATGAATTGATCGATCGATCGATCAATCGAGGGCGGCACAGGAAACCTAGGCCGTCAGCCTAGATAACTCCGACGCGTACTACGTTGGATCGATCACTTGCTTAATTATTAGCTATATGGATGGTTAATTAGATCGATGGGTGAGCTAGCTAGCTGTCCAATTATTTAAACAGTGTACTACGTACATGTGCACATAATTTATGCTTGTATGGCGTCAAGTTGGCAACAAAATAAGTTAATAAACTAATCTCTGCCAGTAATTAATTTAGTACTGATCTCCATATATATGTTTGTTAATAATTTGAGATGTGCTAAGTATGTATGGCGCTTTTGTGTGACGAAAAAGTTGAGATTTCACCGATAGGAACTAAATCCTAGTGTTATAGTAGTATATAATTATGAACACGGGGCATATATATTCTTATATTCTTAATTGTAATAGAAATTCAATAATATGTTATGAATTTTAAATTTTTTTTAGATAATGAAAATTTATAAAATCCAGCTTCTACACCAACGGGGGTCCACAACTTATAGTCGACTTCTATCTAACTATAAGTGTGAATTAAAAATTGTAATTTATTGGCTCTTGTAACATAAAAGGAAGCATATTTGTGCACTGTTAACATGTTTGCGTCTTTCGTGTAATCGAGAACCCGAGAGGAAAAAAAAACAAAGATAACTTATCTGCATATGCATCTTGATGCGTACAGATATCGATGGATCGAACGGTGGAACAGCAAGTGGTCCGTGCAATTAGGCCACGCGCGTGCTCCTCGTGGTCCATTATACTAAAACAAAAACGCACTTACTAGGAAAACAAAATTATTTGATTTAATTTGGTGATATATAGTCGTACTTGTACTTCCTCCGTCCCATAATATAAGGGATTTTAAGTTTTTCTTGCAACGTTTAACCACTCGTTTTATTCAAATATTTTTGAAATTATTATTTATTTTATTTGTGACTTAATTTATTATCCACAGTACTTTAAGCATAACTTTTCATTTTTTATATTTGTAAAAAAAAATTGAATAAGACAAGTGGTCAAACGTTACAAGTAAAAACTCAAAATCCCTTGTACTGTGGGACGGAGGGAGTAGCTAATATAGGGCCTGTTTGGGGAGTTTTAGATTATGAGAAGCAGCTGTTTGGTAGCCAACTTCTGAGAATCTGGATAAGCTCCGAAACCTAGCTTCTCCAGCTTCTGGCTTCTTAGTTCATTCAGCTTCTGGCTTTTTAGTTAATTTTTCAGAATCTATAACTACAGATTCTCAGAAGCTGTGGACTGTTTGGGGCAGCTTATAGCAGAAGTAGCTTTTGGAAAAAGCTGTAGCTAGGACAAGCTCCCCCAAACAGGGCCATAGTATGCGTTTAGTATGTAGCTAGGAGAGGTCCACGTCACCCCTCTGGCTAATTTAATCGCCATCCACGCAATTGGGCTCTATTTTTCTCCGCTGCTGCTCTCTGTGTTAAATTTGCATATATTTCTATGCGTGTGCGTACGGATGACTTAAATTTTTCTGTGTACACAAGCTAACCTACTCATCCTGTTCCTAATTAACAGGAGTTATCATCTCCTCCTTCCTATTCTTAACTAGATGAACAATTTAGTTCATCTAATGCATCTAAACTGTTCGACAAGTCTATTTAGTATACCCTCATTTACAAAACTGGTTGCCTGATACTATTATATTAAAAAAAATTTTGGGCCAGCAAATTAGTTCACACCGGGTATTGAGTGCTTGTTTGTTTTTCCGCAGCGGGATAGATCTGTGGTGTGGCTGTCACTATAGTCTCTTAGGACTATAGAATTATATTTTCTTAATTTTGCTATATCAAAAGAAACGTCTCTCACTATCTTATACGTGTTGTTCAAAAAAAAATTAGTACACACCAGACTGCACTTTCAATGGTGATTATTTTATTGACAAAATCTAACATAGAGTGGCTGTAATTTTGCTTTGCTAGTGAGGAAGCACCGGCTATATATAGTGATAGAGTTGGGGCCTCGTAGTCGCATATCTCTGCGGGCCTCGTAGACGCATAATACTCAATAGTTTTAAATCCTGGTACTAATGAGTATTACACAAGTGAGTGCATTTTAAATAGGAATTCATTAAGACCATGATTAATTACCATCAGTCTCCATCTATTTAACCGTGTGTAGTGTTGTGTAGAGTATTGTACTCAATCTAATTGTAGATTCTTTTTTATAATGTTGATGGCCGTTTTGATGTGTTTTCTATAAGGATATTAAACAAGACTGGGGAGAAGAGGGCGACAAAAACCAGAGGGTAGATTCATAATGTGGTAACAAAAAGGGTCAACAATAATTTAAATGTCAGCATGCGTGCCCACTCATCAAAACTCGATGGTATGACCATCATTATGTCAAAAGAAAGATTTTATTTTGGTCATTTAGTATCAGTATGTCATCTAAGAGGACACACGAGTACTTACTACACTCTGAAACCCTTGTCAAGTAAATTCATCCAGGATTGTACAATAGTGGTGATAAAGCCTTGGATATCCCCTTGAAATATACTCCCTCGTTCCCTAAATGTTTGACACCGTTGATTTTTTTAAATATGTTTGACTGTTCGTCTTATTCAAAGTTTTTTGTGAAATGTGTAAAACTATATGTATACATAAAAGTATGTTTAACAATAAATCAAATGATAGGAAAAAAAATAATAATTACTTAAATTTTTTTAATAAGATGGACGGTCAAACATTTTTAAAAAAGTCAACGGCGTCAAATATTTTGGAATGGAGGGAGTAAATCCTCCTTAACGACTATGATATAGCGAAATATACATCGTACTATATGCATTTTTCATTCTGTTTTCTATCTTGTCCTTGCTATGTTACTATAATAAATTACATTTTTTCCAAGTGCTATAAATGAAAGTAACTGACCCCATTAAGGTCCTCTCGAATGTAGAATTTTTTTAGCGATTTGTGAACTGAATTAATATCTAGGAAAACCCTACAAAATTCATGTGCCGTTTTGAAATGGAAAGTAATATACGCTCTTATATCGTCTGCTTGGTGGCCTATCGGCTGCGGACAAAATTTAAATTGTAAAACTAAAATTTAAAGTTGATTTTGATGTTTTGTTCATCACAGTCTATATTCGACCACAAGATTTTACACCATAAGTTAGTATTTTTAATTGATATTTCTACAGCTTATCATCCCGAGCCCAACCAATTAGAACAATAGACTCTTTTGAGCCCCATCTATTGCCCTAAAAAGAATAAGTTAAAGCCAAAATTCGAATTTTAAAGTTTAAATTTTGAAGTTGACTTTAAGATATTTTTAATATAGCTTCTTCTTTAGCATTGACTTTTAATTTTTTAGGATCATATATATAAATATTTTATGCACAAATTATGTTTTGGTCAGTAATAAGCCATTACGGCTTATAATAAACTTTTGGTCAACCGACAAGTCCGTTTTTCCACGATGTATCGCACCAATGAAATTCATGTGTATAAGTAAAGGATGTGAAATTCATGTGTTTAAGTAAAAGGATGCTTTTAATTAAATTCATGTTATCAACCTTTGAACATAAATATCCTAAGGAAAAAAAATCATGTGTAGTAAGTCTAAAGGAGGAGTAATTGATCGAAAGAATCAACGCCCACGTTTCGTTTATTTGGGGAATAAGCCAAAGCCAAACGATATATTTGCAAGCAAAAATTAATTTGTAAATAAAATTTGTATATACATGTTCTTAACGATCTAAAAGCAAATAGCTAAAAAATAAACTTCAATGTAAAAACCCTAAAATCATCTCCAAATTTAAAATTTAAAATTTATATTTTAACTGATAAGTACAAGCATAATTGAAAAGATGAGACCGCAAGAGTACCATACCTTACCTTACATACGATGGAGGCAGCCACGTAGCTTCATATTTCCAAGCTACTCCTACCCTTGGCCTTGGGCCCTCTGTCAGGAAAGATATTTTGAGCCCAGAGCAAGCAACCAATGGCAGGCGCACGCACACACCAAATGAGGCTACCATCAAATGGCCTAATCAATCAAAGAAAAAGTCAAATTTTAAATTTTCCAGCTTAATTTTAAGATATTTTTAATGTAGTTTCTTTTTCAATATTAACTTTTAAGTCACCAAAAGCATATTTATAAAAGTTTCACCTATAAATATATTTTTATTTCCTAATAAGCCCTTTTGGCCAAACGAGGACCTGAGCAAATGAGAGAAGAGAAGGGAAAAAAAAAGAAAAAAGAAAAGAAGAAAAACGGGGCGCCCAAATCGGGAAGGATTTTAAGGATAACCGGCTGCCCACCGGCTACTTCCCGCCTTCTATCTATATATCCCCCCCTCCCTCCTTTTTCTCCTCCTCGCCACCGCTCGCCGGCGCCGGAGACCACCACCACCACCTCACCTCACCCACCTCTGCTTCTTCTTCTTCTTCTTCCCCGTGGTGTGGTGTGGTGGTGAATTGTTGTTCTGTTCCCTTCATTTTTCGTTGATTCGTGAGCGCGGCGACGTACGTACGGTGGTAAGCATCGTCGTGGATTCGTCTCCGGCGACGGGGGGGAGTGGGTAGGGTAGGGATGTTCGTCAAGGACTGGGACTGAGGTGATCGGCTAAATGTACCGCCAGAACGAGTCGGCCCTCTCCTGCTTCTACCTCTTCCTCCTCTGGTTCTTCTTCTTGAAATAGACTCCACGCCGCGCCAATTCCCAGCCCGAGCGGGAGCCAGCTGCTCAATCCGTCGTTGAGATTGGTTGCGGTTTGCTCTAGCTTGTGAACTCGGCGGAGATTTTTGGTTTTTTGTTTTGGTTTTGGGTTTGGTTGGGTGAGTGGTCGATCGATCGGAAGGTGTTCGATCGATTGCTTGCCTGCTTTGTGATGGAGTTGGATCTGAACAACGTGGCGGAAGGGGTGGTGGAGAAGCATGAGACGGCGGCGAGGAGCGACTCCGGCACGTCGGAGTCGTCGGTGCTCAACGGGGAGGCGTCTGGCGCGGCCATCGCGCCGGCGGAAGAGGGGTCGAGCTCGACGCCGCCGTCGCCGCCGCCGCCTCCCGCGGCGGTGCTCGAGTTCAGCATCCTGAGGAGCTCGGCGTCGGCGTCGGGCGAGAACGACGCCGACGACGACGAGGAGGAGGAGGCCACCCCCTCGCCGCCGCCGCACCACCAACACCAGCAGCTGCTCGTCACCCGGGAGCTATTCCCTTCCGCCGCTCCCTCGCCGCAGCATTGGGCGGAGCTCGGCTTCCTCCGCCCCGACCCACCGCGCCCACACCCAGACATCAGAATCCTCGCCCACGCGCCTCCCCCGGCGCCACCGCCGCCGCCGCCGCAGCCGCAGCCTCAGGCGGCCAAGAAAAGCCGCCGCGGGCCGCGCTCTCGCAGCTCGCAATACCGCGGCGTCACCTTCTACCGCCGCACCGGCCGCTGGGAATCCCACATCTGGGATTGCGGCAAGCAAGTCTACCTAGGTAATTTCATCGAACACATCATCTTCCTCCTCTCAATCCAACGCGACATCGCCATGAACAATCTAACAAACACCTTCATCTTCTCCCAAACAATCACAGGTGGATTCGACACTGCTCACGCAGCTGCAAGGTAAAGAACACATCACATCATTCATCAGAACATGAGCTCTGTGTTTGTGAAGGAGATTGAGAGAATTGAATGATGATGGATGGATGCAGGGCGTACGACAGGGCGGCGATCAAGTTCAGGGGAGTAGAGGCTGACATCAACTTCAACCTGAGCGACTACGAGGAGGACATGAGGCAGATGAAGAGCTTGTCCAAGGAGGAGTTCGTGCACGTTCTCCGGCGACAGAGCACCGGCTTCTCCCGCGGCAGCTCAAAGTACAGGGGTGTCACCCTCCACAAGTGCGGCCGCTGGGAGGCTCGCATGGGCCAATTCCTTGGCAAGAAGTAAGAACACCATATATATATATAGCTCTCTCTCTCTCCATCTTCTTCTTCCTCATCTTTTCATTTCAACATGTTCTTGATTTATTGTGATTGTGATCATCCATTTTGAGTAGGGATGATAGTAAGTAGAGATAGGGTGTGATTAGATGCATAGAACAGATAAGAGTTAAGCTAGAAATTAGGCAGTGGATAGGGAATTCCTCACCGGTGGGAACGCCATGCTTGGCTGCAGGTACATATATCTTGGGCTATTCGACAGCGAAGTAGAGGCTGCAAGGTTATCATCAGCTTGGATTCTCTTCTCTTGTACAATTGATTCAAACCAAAAAAAAGTCTTTTCTTTTTTAAAATTTTACTTTCTCGTGTTGTTGATTTTCGATGGACCTTGTACCGACTCGAATCTCCTCTCTTTTTTTTTCTCTTCTTTTTTCTCTTCTCGTTTTAAACATCAGGGCTTATGATAAGGCTGCGATCAAATGCAATGGCAGAGAAGCCGTCACCAACTTCGAGCCCAGCACATATGATGGTGAGCTGCCTACTGATGCTGCTGCTCAAGGTAACATGCGTGCTGAATCTGATTTGATTAAATTTTTTTTCTGTAACTGATTAACTAGCTGATGAACTCAGCTCTGAACAGATTTAATTAAATCCGGGTTCAATTGTGATTTCTTATTATTTTTAGGAGCCGATGTGGATCTGAACCTGAGAATATCTCAGCCTGCAGCCTCACAGCAGAGCCCCAAGAGGGATAGCGGCTCCCTTGGCCTGCAAATCCACCATGGATCATTTGAAGGTTCTGAATTCAAGAGAGCAAAGGCAAGTTGCAATTCAGTCAAAATTCTTCCGATGGATGATTTGTTTGCATGTCAAGCAAGTTGCAGTAATGCGAAAGAAACACAAAAGCATAAATAATCAAGATTCGCTTTCACCGTGGTAGCGACTAAAGTATGATGTGCAAATTGCATATGTAGTCTTCTACCTAGTGTACTTCATAGACCCCATTTCTATTGCTACCGTCTAAATTTGATTTCTCTATTGTCGGACCCACCATACGTACAAATTGGCCCCAAATTTCATCAAATAGTAACAAGTTTCTCTTTTTCTTCCTGATTACGTTGTAGGAGCATCTCTTTCATGAAAACTGTAAATGATATTCAGGATCACTGCTTAGTTGATATTTCAACTGAAAAACTTGTGCTTTGCTGTGCAGAATGATGCAGCTCCCTCTGAACTTGCTAGCCGCCCTCATCGGTTCCCTCTTCTGACCGAGCATCCGCCAATCTGGACTGCCCAACCTCATCCCCTATTCCCAAATAATGAGGTGAAAATTTTGTAGCTTTCAACACTGTATTTAGCTTCATCCACTTGCATTTCTTGTGTGGCTATCAGTTTAGCTCAAGTCTTACATCAATGTGCTTCATTTCCTTCCGGCCTGTCGACTTCAGTAGTATTAATGCCTGGCACAAGTTTCATATGTAGGTTCTTGAATTTTCAGAAAAGGCCTAATTAGGGTAGCAGTACTAGTCTATATGCATTATAAATATGTTTGATTTTTTCTTCAAAAGGAACTTCCTAGAGAGTTGACGATTTCGCGTTAGGCTTTTTATAAATCGTCAGTCCAACTGTTCCTCTCAACGTGCTAATATCTTATAAAATTAGTGTCGGCTGTTGTTCAAAATTCCCCATTGGGAAAGAAAAATGATACTCTGCCATCTTGTTATTATTCAGAATGATTAGTATACTACATCAATTGGTTATTAAAAGAGGTTAGACTGGTTTGCCGTTAGACATTTGGACCTGGGAGTTTTGTTCAAATTTACCTCTGAGACTTCAAGGATAGCTTCAGTTACGTCCTTCTCTTATTTTCCTTGGACGGAAAGGTGATCTCGACGTCTGTAGCTGAGATTTCTGTCCAATTGAATCGTCGCAAATCCAATCCGATAATCATATTTTATCCAAACAAAAATACAATATAATAGTTCTTGGCAATTTGTACACCTGTATCTTGATGGATGGATAAGAAATTCAGCAAGCTAAGCTAAGTACAATTTTTCACTGTTTGATGATGCAGGATGCATCCAGATCATCGGATCAGAAGAGGAAGCCATCAGAGGGGGTAGCTGTTCCAAGCTGGGCATGGAAGCAGGTGAGCCATCATCACCCTGCTCCTCCTCACACGCTGCCATTGCCCTTCTTCTCCTCCTCCTCGTCGTCGCCGTCGTCGTCCTCCGCTGCAGCATCATCAGGATTCTCCAAAGCCGCCACGACAGCAGCTGCTGCCCAACACACTGCCACCCTCCGGTTCGACCCGACGGCGCCGTCGTCTTCGTCGTCAAGCCGCCATCACCACCACCATTGATAAAAAGGAAAGAAGCCATCACCACCACTGTAAATTTTGCCGGGAAGCCGGCAAATTTTTTTTTTTCTTGGCCGTCGCCGGCGTTTCAACGTTTTCGTCTTTGCGCCGGCGGGCCGGCCGGGTGGTTTCTTGTAGTGATTAGTTAATTGGGATTCATGACTGTATTTGCATCCACACATAAAACGCCCAAAAAATGTTCCAAATGCTCCTAGTCTCTTTGCCCCCTGATCTCAGAGAACAGATCATACTAACCTGAGATGTATTGATCCACACACCTTGTTGTAGAGAATTTGTTATATCAGTTACTGAGATTACTAAACAGTACAGGCATCAACTCTGACTTTACTTAGAACTCGTTCTTTTCTGATTAAGATATAGATACGATTTTTTACCTCGGTTTTCGTTAGCATGTTTTTTCAAACTGCTAAAAGGTACATTCAGTGCAAAAAAAATTTCTAAATAGAAATTGATTCAAAATGTCAGATAAATCTATTTTTAAAATTTATAATAAATTAATACTCAATTAATTATGCGCTAATGTTTTTAATGTCCCCCCTTAATCTTCATTTACGATAAAAAACGAGCACCTTTACCTAGTAGTTTATTGTGGATAGGGAAAAAAATTAAAGGTTTGCATAATAGGAGAATTATTCAAGTTACTTTCTTGGCTGTCACTTGGTGTTGTTGTCCTTTCTTAGTTTGGTGCCAGCTACCAAGTTGCTTCCAGAGCAAACACTAGGGATGGCAATTGTGCCCGTTTGCCCGTTTACCCGCGGGTAAAAACCCTATTAGGGTTGGGTTTGTTCTCCATTTTATACCCATGGGTATCTTATTGGTTCAAAAGCTATGCCCGATGGGTAAATGGGCATGGGTATGGGTAATCACTACCCATGCCCGCTTTGCCCGTTTACCCGCGAAATCTAACTTACATGTAGGCTAGGAGTAAAATCCACTAGAATACATAAGCCACGTTCTTTGTTTTCTACGATTTCCCTTTTATTTCCCTTATTATTTCTCTCCTCTTACTCTATCGCCGCCAGAGGAGAGACACGACACCGAGGTGGAGAATATTTGATGTTTTAAGTTCGATTCGAAGTTAGTAGCTTGTAGACTTTTTGTTCCACTGCTTTTGTTGTGGCGGGTAAACGGGCACGTCCGCGGGCAATGGGCATGGGCAACCATCCTTACCCGTCATGTAGTAATGGGTATACCCACGGGCACAAATAATCTCACGGGCATGGGTATGGGTAGGCACTACCCGTGCCCGTCACACGCGATTGCCATCCCTAGCAAACACTGTTCGTTTGTTCGTTCTGCACTGTGCCAAGATTTGGCCATAATGGACAGGGAAGCATTTGGTACTTGTAAGAATATATGCATGTCCCTTACAGTACATTTGGAACCACACAGTTTTTTCTCTTTCCTGTACTGGAGTAGATTAGATTTGTCTGCAGGAACTTTCACTCTCTGATGGCTAGTAGAGTTAAATTTGTGAAAAGAACACTGAAAAATTCAGGCAGATTTGGTACAGAGACCGGGTAGAAAAAATCTACAAAGGACAAGAGGACAGTGAAAAGGAAATACAGTGGCGAAATTTTGACAGATTTTAACATGAAGGATAGTTTATGGAGAGAGATACTACTCACTTTTAGAGTTGAACACATGTATCAAAATAGGTAAAATTAAATGTGAAAATATTGTGATTGATTGAGAGGAAGATGCAAATATAAAATTTAAATTATGGAAGATTACGATTGATTGAGAAAAGAACGTAGATGAATAAGTGATTATTATATTCTAGAATGGACGGAGTATATTGGGGGAATAATAATAACTGGTGCATGGGTGCGACCTCGTCTGGTGTTACGTCGATGCGATGCTGCTGCTGGCTGCGACTTGTGAAGCTTTTTCAATGTTTTGTTCGTCGAATTTGACGGTGAAATTACCAGACGGACGGCAGGCAGCTGTCGGCATCGGGTCACCCGACGGCAAAAAGTTGGTGCCACATGAAAAGAATCCGTCACGTGAAGGGACATATGTAAACTATTTTCCATGAATTCCGACTGCTACTAGCTAGTATCTCTACACTAGTAAAACATAATATAAGTTTTTTTTGATTGTTTAATATTTTTGTCTTAAAATATAAGTATATTTGATCAGGGCCATCCTAGGGACGTGCGGCCAGTGCGCCCGCACAGGGCCCCCAATTTTCAGGGGTCCCCTAGGTCCAAAACTTCAACACTATATATTCAACTCAGTAAGTAAATTGGTAGCCTAACTAGTCCTGAAAATCTGTTATTTTTCTTGTCGTTTTGGCTTCGATTACGCCTTTGCCGGTTCACACAGTTGCGGCGGTTCGCAATCTTTAATCGCCTCCCACTGTGGACCTCGCCAATCGCCAATCGTAACTAACGAGAGGAGTAAACGATGCCTCACCTTTTTCTCTCGTGCGGTCATACCGCCTGACGCCTGCCACGCCCCTGACATAATTCTTTCTAGTAATTTCTAATCCGGTAATCCCTAATTTTAGATTATCATTTTAGGCCATTCTAGATTTCTATGAAATATATTACGGAGTATAAATTATTTTCATATTATATTATCAATTAAGTTTTTATCCTTCAACTTTGCACAGGGCCCCCGAATTTAACGGGACGGCCCTGTATTTGATCTTTTAACAAAATGTATGGTTCTGGAAAAAAAAGTTTTTGTTTGAGACAGTCACCTTAGTTGATTAAATTTTAAATTTTTAATTGTTTATACTTCTCTCATGATTGGCTGAAAATATATAGATTTACCCTAGAAAATACTTATAATATGATACAAATTTTAAATCTTAAAAATTCTTATACTTAATTTGAAACGGAGAAAATGTCTTTGAAAGGTATGTAAATGGAAGACATGCGATCGATACAATGAAAAATAATTAAAATTATAAGTAGATAGGTTTTAAGGCAAGCATTATATTAGTGGTGCCTTGCCCGCCATTAGTTCTCCGGCACATGACTATAAACATATTGGCATGAAGTATAAAATGCATCCACAACTATAAAAAATCCTCAAAAGAAGTAGAGTACTGCTATAAGTATAATCTAATTGTACAACTCATGTACAACTAGAGACATGCAACCATAGATGAATCAAAGGAGAGCATGTTCATATGCACTGCAGCCGTTTATAACCATTGGTCAAATTCAATCATACGTGAGCCGCATAGTTAGGTTGTATGCATAGCAATTTCCAAAATAGTAAATGATCCCATGATGGTAAACAGGTCAGACGCTAGTAGTGCACTTGGTGTTAAATAGTGGATATCTTATGTGTTGAGATAGATTCTCTCTTGGATTGTGAATGACTGTACCAAGAAACGTGTGAGCAATTGATTCTATATTCCTTCCATCATATTGGCATAATGTTATTGATGTGAATATGAGAGATGGTGGCAAGCTCATCCATGCATGGTAAGCATCTCAACATTTCAACGTTCAAACATCAAACTTTGCAATCTCGACCAGTGATAACCAGTAACCCGTAATAATATAGCCTCTCATAATTATTTGATTGTTAGCCAACCAAATTTTGAATTTTAGTTGATTTTTTTTATCGTTGTATATTTTTCAGCCTTGGTTTTTAAACTGCGGATAAAATAAATAAATAAATAAATAAATAAATAAATATATATATATATATATATATATATATATATATATATATATATATATATATATATATGCTTATAATTTTTTTTCTTCGTTCATAATATAAACTGACATTTTTTTTAAAAAATAACTGCACTTATGTTCATATTATAAAGTGCTCTGACGCACTCTTCCTATTATAGTCATTAACAGCATATTTTGAAATCAACTTGAAGGTTCAGTTTTTAAGATCATACCTTATAAAAATCAAAAGAGATGTACCAAACGACCAATGCTAGCAAAACTCTTGGTTATGATGAACATGCATCGTTATATTGGTACTAGCTAGATCTACTGGTATCCTCCAATCCCATTGCTCCCTTCCTTTAATTGTTCTTTAATTACTTGCTTCCATGTAAATGCCTCTGAATTTGTTTACAAGGCACAAACTGCAGCACAAGTTGGCAATTGTTTGTTGCTTCGATCAGGAGAACGATGGTGGTTCACATATATTTTACTATAGCAGGGAACCAACATGAGATCTGAAAATGCCAAGAATATATATGATAGCTTAGTTATTTTGGTCTCAGCAGAAGCAGACTTACTTCATTTTTTTCTATTTTCTCAAAAGGAAAAGTAGTTAATATTGCTTAATTTTTATACCATACATAGTGATATTTTAAATTTAAAAACTGAGCATGATTTGACCAAAGTTAGCTAGGTGTACATCAGTAGTACTCCTACATAGCTAGTGGATCGATCCAATTATATGTGAACATCAAGAAAAGAATACTAGATATCATTTTTTTTTCATATGGAATATCATGGTAGCTAACACCTCTGGGCAACATAGTAATAGAAGAATACAGAGAGTACTTTTCTGAATGGCAATGAGAAGCTGTCGTACAGGTGTCGACGTGTAACATTATAGTAGTTGTGTTGATGATGCCTCCCCAGATGAGATTATTATTATTAATTATTATTCCTTTCTTGAAAGTATTGCATGCATGATACCTCAAAATATTCAAACAAACAGCTCCATTAGATCACCGACAAACGACCATCAGGTCAGGTACGTACCATGAAAAAGATAACTAACAACACTGAAAGGACAACCACCCTTAAGCAAAAACCAAGACACCACAACCCCCAAGCATTTTAATTAGTACTGCAAGCATTCTGATAATTAATCCCTTCATGTACCTAAAACAATATCTTCTTTTCTTCCCATTAAAATATTAGATTTGACCCCATATTATTGGTGTAGATATGGAATTAAGAAAATAAAGGTAGATCTGATATGGACACAATATATAGGCAATTATATCACCAGGAGGTGGGCCTCATTGGTGAAGTGTATATGTTGTTAAGGTACCCATGTCAATGATGATTCATAATATTAGCTTCTCAGGATAAAAATAAAGTTTCCATCTCTTTAGGGGTGTATTTGTGAGTACTTCAGTTTGTAATGGCGTGCGTAGTAATATATGTACATATATGTATTTCATGCAATCGTAAAAAAATACACACACAACGATAGTGATGCTATTGGTAGACACGTAGATTGAGAAATGGACGATCCAGATTACGTGCAGTTGCTATTATTAATTAACAAATCACAATAGCAACTGCGGCGGATCTCAATTGGTTCGTAACGGTCTCATAAGAGGAATCATCCTTATGCATGATGGCGATAAGAAAACAAAGTATAAATAATACTTCAATTTGGATTTTTTAAGGATTGAGGCCGTCCTTTTTTTTTTCTTCTACCATGTGGTGGGTCTCTCTCTCCTTTTGGCATGATTCCTCGAGAGCAAATATATTGCTATTTTTATTTCGAAGCGCCTATATACGTCACTGCTTACGTTAATTCCCTGCCGGATAGTAATAATCTAAGTTTGCATGACATGGATCAGAGGAGACTAATATAAAAAATGGACAAGAAAAAAATAGATTAACAATGGGTCATCGTACTAGTACTATATTGGGACTAATCACATTGTTAATGCTGGAGATTGATTCCTTGTATTAGTTGTAATCGAACGAGTTCTTTATAAAAGTGGTCTTATTGTTTGTACTCTGCTTTTTGTTTATTGGGGATAATCTTTTATACTATCAAGACGTGTAGTTATACTATGAACACATGTACTGCTTTTAGTATGTCCTTTATTAAAAAAAAGGCATTATTTATTTTGTGTGTAGCTTAATCATCATGACACACTTGTCTTGATCACTTTGATTATATATTTTGGTTTAGCCTAATCTTGATTTTTTTATTCCCTGCCAGATTATTCACTTTTAGTACCAATTGGTTTCAGTAATTATTTTAAGTTAACAAGTGGGGCCTGCCCTGTCTGCTAAGATAACATGGGCAAGCAAAATTCAACATATATTTAAAAGAGCCAGATGACCATCGAGTTGAAGGAAACAGCTGCATGTTAATTACTTTTAATTTGATTAGATTTGTCAGATCCAAGCTTATTTTTCTACTAGCTGGTTACAATTTGTTATCTATTTAGTACAACAAATCATGAAGGGTCTGGATGTGTGTACAGTACCTATTGCCAGCTCCAATAAAATTTCTCCTTTTTTTTGCTTAATGATAATATAATACAAGAGCCTCGACAAGCACAAGGAATCCGTACCACATATTAATTATGAAAATTTTACTAGTAGTATATTGGTAGACTTAATCTAAACCAAGTAATAATTAAACAATGAGATGATATCAAACACCACAGCTCCATCCACTGTAAATTATAGTAAAAACAGAGCGTTTGTCCGAAACCAGCTAGCTGTCATTTTCGTTTAGTTAAAATACGTGGGAATTAATTTTATAATATTTTAATTCACTAATATATGAGAAGCATTAAATTTTAGTACATGAAAATGATATCAGTATAGTTAATACTACTAATATATTTTATAAAAGGAAATAGAGCAAGCTACTGCGTTGTTGTAAAATAGACGTCCTTGCAATTAAATTTTAAGATTTTAATTCACAAATATATTAGAAACACTAAAATTTAATACACGAAAATGATACCAGTATATTAAGATAGTTACTTTGATGTGGTTATAAATTTAACAGCTTTAATACACCAATGTTGACAAAGTAACTGCCGAAAAACCTACACATTAAAACCCGTATCAGTATATATCTTGATTGACAAATAAAAAAGGAAATGAAGAGGAGTAAGACAGTACTATCATTGTTAGTGTCCTAATTAGGACGATGACGAAATTGGATGGAGCACATTGATGGCGACGCAACACCAGCAAGCTAGCTAGCACTGCTGATTGCTTCATCCATCACCATCACTCGTGCCAGCTGATCATATCATTGAGTTCACACGTGTAGCTAGCTTAATTAGCTTGCTCACATGTTTTAAATTTCTTTTCTTATGTAATAATATAAGATGGTTTAAACTCTCCGTTCAACGATCAAAGATTCAAATTCTTTCAATGATCAATAAAAGTCGTAGGCAGCGATGGAGCTAGAAATAATTCCAATCCTGAAGAAATTCAACTATATCAACAACGAAAATTTGAAGGGAGTATTTGACGGTGTGCCTGGGAGGTTGTCTAGGATAGCCGGGCTTAAATAAAATCTACAAGAAGTTATACAAATATGAAAATATCTCGTATTTTAAGTCTTCCTTTAGTAAGGACATCGCTCGTGTAAAAATCCTATAAAATTTATGTGTTCTGAATCGGTAGATGGTAAAATCAGCCAGTCAGTCAAGTGTTAGAAAATTCTTGGGCCTTTTCTTGCCATCAGCAATAATCCCGGGGCCTGTTATTAATGATAAAAAAGTCTACTGACTCCCTCCAATATAGATCGAATTTTGAGAGAGTCAAATTGGACTTTTTACTTAATGATGACCCTGAGCTCTAGTTGCACAACAATACACAGAACGGCCCAACAAAGCTCAATTCAGCCCATTACACAGTGTTAAGCTGCTGGTTTGGGCCTATTCGGCCTTATTTAGGAATAAGTTCACTTTGTGACCCTTAAAAGTGATCGAAATCTAATTCGTGACCCTAAACCACAAAACCGGATATCTCGACCTCTAAACTCTTAAAACCGGTGCAATTTGACTCCCTCGGCTGTTTTGGAGGACGGTTTCGCTGACGTGGCGCCTACGTGGCGATGTTGACTCAGTCTTCGGTCCACATGGAGCTGACGTGGCGCTTATGCATACTAGAATTGAAAATATATATGCAGAACCCACTTGTCATTCATACCAAAATAATAAATGTATAGCCATTGACATGTGGGGCCCATATGTCAGTCATCTTTCCTTCTTCCTCTTCCTCCTCCCTTCCTGTCCCTTCTCTCTCTCCTATTTCTCTTCTTCTTCGTCTGCAGGAGGTGGTGGGTGCTCGAGGGTCCGAGTGGCCGCGGCGGCGAGCGGGAGCGGAGGCGGTGACCCGACGGCGGCAGGAGGAGACGCCGCTCACCGGGTGATGTGCCATCCCGGAGTACAACGCCATTGAGCTCCTCGCCCACCACGACACGCTCCACCTGCGCGCTCTCGTCGAGCGGATTCATACCGCCGCCGCATGCCAGGCCGATGCCGCTTATCCTCAAAAGAATCCTACCGTCATTAATGGCATTCCTAGCCTTCTTGTTTTTGCTTTGACCCAGCAAGCAAGAAACTCCTCCAGCGTCTAGTCACCTCAACCACGAACTTGAATCCGTTGCTCTGCTACTGCTGCTGTAACGGTTGCGCTTTGAGTGTGACTACAGTGTCTGCTGCTACTACTACTACTACTCTGCTTTGCCACTACTTGGTTCGCAGGAAGGTGGTGAGAGGGAAAGTGTAAGGATGAGAGAGGGAGAGGGATTGGGATGGAGTTCTTGGTGGCTCAAGCGCTCCTCCTCCTCGTCGTCATCTCCAACTCCCTCCCGCTCCCTTCCTTGGGTCTTGCTGCAAATGGTGGCACGCCGCCGCCGCCGCTGGGTCGCCGCCTCCCCTCCCGCTCGCCGCGGCCGCTCGGGCCCGCCGCTGCCTGCAGACGAAGACGAAGAGAAATGGGAGAGAGAGAAAAAGAGAGAGAGAAGGGAGGAGGAAGAGGAATAAGGAAAGAGGGCCCATGGCCCCACATGTCAGTGGTCCCACATTTTTTTTTGTGTGAGTGACAAATGGTCCCGCACATATTTTTTTAATTCTAGTATACATAAGCGCCACGTTAACTCCACGTGGACCGAAGACTGAGTCAACATTGCCACGTAGACGCCATGTCAGCAAAACCACCCTCCAAAACCGCTGAGGGAGTCAAATTGCACCGGTTTTAAGAGTTGAGGGATCGAGATATCCGGTTTTATGGTTTAGGGTCACAGATTAGATTTCGATCACGTTTGAGGATCACAAAGTGAACTTATTCCCCTCGTTTATATGGATCTCATTTCAGGCCCATCCAACTTGAAAGCTACTAGTAATATTTCGGCCCACTAAGGTGACACCTAGATGGGTTGGGCCATAGTCCATGGATGAGACGGCCCAATGGGCTGACCAGTCTTCTTCAACCCTACTCCTCCAAGGCAAAGCAAAGAAAAGCTCCTCGTCTCCGCGTTGCCGCACAAGGGAAACCCTCGCCGCCGCCGCCGTCGGGGATGACGTCCGTGCGCGCCGTGGGGTCCACGCTGCCGTCGATCCGCGCGGCGGCGGAGCTGGCCCGGCAGGAGCTGCTGCGGCGGGAGCTGGTGGAGTGCCAGCTGGTGGCGGGCATCTGGTGCCACGGGTTCACGGTGTCGCAGCTGCGGAGCATCCGCGCCAGCCTGCCGCCGACGGCGAGGCTGGTTGTGGCGAAGAACTCGGACGTGGCGGCGGCGGTGGCCGGGACGCGGTGGGAGGCGGTGCGGCCGTTCGCGCGGGGGATGAACGCGTGGCTGTTCGTCCGCTCCGACGAGATCCCGCCGGCGCTGCGGCCGTACCGCGACTTCCAGAAGGAGTGGAAGCTGCAGCTCAACGACTTCACTGGCGCCGTCTTCGAGGGCCGCCTCTACAGCCCCGACGACTTCGCGCAGCTCGAGTCCATGCCCACCAGGGTCCAGTCCTACCAGTACCTCGTCGGCTGCCTCCAGATGCCCGCCGTCTCCGTCCTCGCCGCGCTCCGCGCTCGCCAGGAGGCCATGGCGCAGCCGCCGCCCGCCGACGAGCCGGCTCCAACGCCACCGGCGGACAAGTGATCACCGCATCTCTCTTCTCATTTTTTTTTCTCCTGCAAATTTGTGTTGCAGAAACATTGGTAGCCCATAAAAACGCATTGCGTTGCTTGAATATGATGTATCATCTTCCAATATTACATGTTGATGTTTTGCAAACAATTGCGAATTCGCGAGTGATGCCGCATCGCCATTGCTCCAATCTCACGCTCACCATCGTTTTGGCACTGGTTGATCGTGGGTTTTAATTGCACTGATGCATGTGAGAGTGGAGATTAACGGTGTTTGAAGTTGCTTGGAATTACTGATGTGTTCATGAGCTTGTGTTGCAGTGAAGCTAACACTGTTACTGGTAGCTTGAATGCTTGAAATGCCAGTGATGTGTAGAGTTTGCTGATTTTTTTTTCTTTTTTCAAAAGTTAGTTTTGTACAATCGAAAGATCATGAATTTTGAAATATGACATTGAACTTTGGTGGTTCACTTTAATAGCACCGAAAGATTATGTTGCAAAGAAGACAAGGATTACTTAGCATTAGCAGCACGCCAACACTGACGGCGAAATAACAAACTTCAGGAACCCCAAGGGGGTTGAAGCATAGGAGGTTGATGCCTTCAGGCTTCATTCAGTTAAGAAACTATATCCAGCAGAATTGCATGGTGAGCAAGCCTTACTGAATATAGCGGCTTTACCAATGCAATCTTCAGGTAGATGAGTCGGAACGACGAGCACGTATTTACACTGTAGAACAAACCAACCTTGATAAATTACCATGCCTGTCACAAGACATTAGGGTCTACTAAAATTCCTTTCACTTTTCCTATACATACAAAAAGAGAGAACGTTGCTACCTAACTAGCACATAAACACCCTTGAGCATATAAAGATCTGGCGTTTCTGCATTCTGGACTTCTGGTAACTTGATGTCTGAGACAGTACATAGAGGTCTTATCAAAATTACTTCCATGTTTTACCTATACATGCACAAAGGAAAAGAACGTTGCTACTAGTATCTCAAACCATATCAACACCCTTGATATCCAAAGATCTCACATTTCTGTATTCTGGTTCACGACGAATCAGCCTGAGAGAAGCCATCTCAAATACTCAGTTCCATCATCACAAGCTGGGGCATCATCATCAGGAGCAGCTACCCTCTTCCGCATCAAACTCTCCACAGGTATGGCTTTCCTCTTCCTCCCACCTGCTTGACGTGGTCGTTCCCCGTCAATTTCTTCGAAATTAGCCTGCACATAATGATGGGAAAATTATAATCATCTTAAGGGTTTAACAAGAAGAAGATACCATCGGTCAGCTATTTCATAGCAGAATTGTTGTTTGTGTTACCTGAACGTACACATGAGCACTAGATTTCTCATGGTTGTCCCTTACATGCTTGTACGAAAAACTCTTGCCACACCCAGAGAATCCACATACAAAGGGTCGCTTCTGCTCATGGACTGCTTTCACATGCTTGTCCAGATTGGATTTCTGCAGTTCAAAGTCCCCCCCCCCCCCCCAAAAAAAAAAAATTGAAAAGGATGGAACGATTTGCAATTTATTGGAAAGAAATAAAAAAATTCTGTGAAACAGAATCAACCCTGAAAGATTGAAATCCTACCTTTGAAAATGACAACTTGCAGTCCTTGAGGTGGCATCGAACCCTCTCAGTAACACAGGAACCTTCATGCATTCTCTGATGACGTTTGAAGTTCTTCTTCAGCTGTTTGGTTCCACAGACATCACAGACAACATGTCGATGACAAGATTTGTTATGGGCCTTGAGGCATTCCAAGTTGGTAAATGCCTTCATGCAGCCTGGTTCACAGCAGATAACTTCACTATAATCCAACTTGACTGCACAAGTAAAACAAGGTATGTCACGGCACAATTAACCAATTCTCACTTCTCAACTTCTCACAGGAAGTAAAAGCAGGCATACAGCGCATGCACAGTATAAGTAAATCATGCATTTGATCTGAAGAGATAAATGATCTTTAAAAGAAACAGGAGTATCTTGCAGGATACTTTGAAGAGTTTATATCAGTATTCTAGCTCAGAAATAGAAAAAGTCAGAGTGTCAGATGACATAACCAGTCTATATATGATAAAATTGATCTAGGAGGGTTGCTGAGCTATTTAAAGACAGTAAGAAAAATATGGCACACAAGTATCTCACCATGTGATTCCTCATGCTTCTGTAACTTAGAAGCATATTTAAAAGTCTTCCCACAGTTTTCCTCAGGACAGATGAACTCTTTCTTGCTTTCACAAGGAGAGCCATCTTTATGCATTTCCTGAACATGCCTTTGGATATTACCCTTTATAGTGAACTTACGGTTGCATCCTTCCATGGGGCATGCAAATAGCTTTCCTTGATGTGTAAGTAGATGCCGGTTCAAATGGTCCTTCCTGCTATAGCTGAAGGGGCAACCATCTACATGGCAGGAAAAGGGCCTCTGCAAAAGCATATACCTTAAATGTTATACTGAAAGCAGAACTTTATGATTTACTTGACATAAAATAAGTAGGTCAATGTACACACATATCCATTCAGTGCAATATGCTAAAACTGTTCCGATAATCACACTACTATGCTGCAAATGAGACAGCTGCATGAATAGTCAAATACCAGTGACAAATATACATGTGTATCTTGACTGAGTAATTGCATCTAAGACAGGATCCTTAAGTAGCTTGAGAATAACAATATCTCAGTACGTACATATCACTGTAAGTAATAACAACAGTTGGAACAAAATCAAGTCTTAGAATGAGCAATTTGAAATGAACAAGCAAACCTGAAAAAGTGTGTGAACGAGGCATTCTTGATGGAGCTTCTCAGGAGAGTCTCCCCATCCTGATACTAGTCCATTCAAAGCCTTCACGCATTTTGGAGTTCTTTGGGATCCAATGCTTCACGCAGTCATATATAGTCTGCCAAAATCAAAATATATCAGAAACCACAATAGGCCATGCACTAATCCAACGAAACAGAGAGCCAAATGGCACCTATACCTATATACTTGAATTAACTTTCAAATGAGTAATTGTTTTGGTTGTTGTGTAGAATATTCACTGAACAGGACAGATACACGTCTTTTACACTAAAGGGGAATACGAGGAGCTGGTTATTCCATCACAAGCATAGCTATCTCTTCAGTGTACATGCTCTACCTACTTGGTTAACTGTTTGATCAAAAGACCATCAAGTGGTGCTTGCATTAGATACAACCAACAGCGCTACGCATGCAGTTCTTCAACAGTAGACTTGCGCGTAAGAAAAGATCCTTCAATAGCTTGGAAAAACTAAGAATGCAGCGCACGTAACAATAACAGCAGTAGCATAGAGCAAGCAGTTTTTTGCAACAGAAGAAATCACCTGAAGAAGAGCGTGAAAGAGGCATTCTTGAAGGAGCTTCCCAGAAGGGTCTCCCCATCCTGGTACTAGTCCACTCAAGGCCTTCTCGCATTTTGGAGTTCTCTGGGATCCAATGCTTCACACATCCATATGTAACAAAATAGTGAAATAGTCTGCAAAAATCAGCATAGATCAACAAACCTACCCAACCAAAAAAGGAGTGAAACGACAACTATTAACTGTCCAGGGAAATTTGCTGTCAACACAGCATAACTATCACCATCCCTAGTCCCTACATAGGACAGAGCATCTATCACAGCTATTGCAAGTAATACTCTGAACAGAGAAACACATAGCATCTATCACATGCGCCAAAGAACTTGATCATTTCAGTGAACATGTATCGAAATTCAGATACCTCAAGTGAATGGCTCTGCATGTGTTGCCTCAAATGGGCCGGCTTCTTAAAACTAGCACCGCACACCTTGCAATCATGGTCCATCTCTTTGCACGTCTCGCCGCCACCACGTCCCAAGTAATCATCCAAATCATCCACTTCATCCTAAAAACACAAATAGCAGCACCGACAAAACCAAACAGTCAATCATTCATCCATCCAAGTAACCAACCACCGTGGCGAGCAGCCAAAGCACGGAGAATATGACCACTAGACGCATCTGAGGTTCTGAACTATGAAGCGAGAGACGCCATGAGCGACCTTATGGTGTTCGAGGACGTGGGCACGGATCAACCCCTTCTTGGAACGGACGACACTGCAGAAATCGCACTTGTACCGCCTAATATCCCTAGCAGGAGGCGCCGCCCCCTTGCTCCCCCCCTCCCCGCCGGCGACCTCCCTTTCCTCCGCTCCGAGCTCCACGCTCCCCATCTCTGACCAAACCAATCCCCCAAAATTCGCGTCACAAAACACACATAACGAGCAAAATCACAACCAAATCAACCAAAATCACCGAAATCCGCGCTACACGCGGCGTGAATAAGCAGAGGATTACCTCTAATTGCAGAGGAATTCGCTGAATCAGCGGCTCCGCGAGGCTCCAGATGTTGGCGACGGCGGCGCACTGGGAGAAGGAGAAACCCTCGACTCGAACCAAGCAGTAGAAGCGGTAGTGGAGTAGGCAAGTCTTAGCGGGTTCGGGTTTGAGAATGCGGGTGCCGGGTTCGGGTACCACCTTAAACCCGCATGTGTGCCCTCATTCTCCCCTACCACAGTTCCTTCACGTGTGCCCGGGGATGGCAATTTTACCCACGGGTCCGGGTATCCGCGGATACCTGGCCCGATGGGCATGGGCATGGGTGTAATATTTTGCCCGTGGGCATGCCCGCCCGAGACCCGAGAACATAGCGAGCAGCGGCCGGGTATTATTTTTTGCCCGCGGATAATCCATGCCCTACTCGATACATATGTATTTGCTAATTTTGGCCCATCTCTTATGCCTCATACCCTTTCCTCTTGGCCCATTTGGCCCACTAACCAGATACATATATATATATACTCAACTAATAGAAACCCTAACCTAATTCCCCACTCCTTCTCCTACCCAATCCCCACAGCAGCTGGCGGCGGTGGCGGTGCGAGCTATTGGCGGCTGCACGGCCGACGGCGGCGGCGACGTGGGCTATTGGCGTCGGTGGCGGCTGCGCTGCCGGCGGCGGCAGCAACGCGGGCTAGCGGCAGCGGCGCGGCTGGCGGCGGCGCATAGGAGTAGGCGGCGCACGGCTTAGGCGGCGTTACACGACGGCGGTGGCGGTGCACGGCACAGACGGCGTCGCACGACGGCGGTGGTGGCGCACGGCACAGGCAGGGCCGATGGGTACCCATCGGGTATGCAGTGCCCGACGGGCATGGGCACGGGCATAGGATTTTGCCTGATAGCCCTTTCGGGCATGGGTCGGGCATGGGCACATGGGTCTCGGGTCAGGCATGGAATCGCTCTACCCGTGCCCGACCCGACCCGTTGCCATCCCTACGTGTGCCCTCATTAGTGTGGTGTGTTTGAGAAAAAAAAGGGGAATGCTAGGTGACGGGATACCGTCCCCCAACGGGATAGCTCCTCTCCACAACGCGATTCTTATCCATATACTCACTGGCCGCCGTCGCTGTCCCCCGCCGTTGTCGCGCCTGTCCACCGTTGCCTCCGCCGCCGCCGCCGCGCCCATCCCCAACCGCCGCAGCGCCCGTCCCCCGCTACTGCCGCCGTCGCCGCGCCCGTCCTCTGCCACCGCCATCGCCGTCCTCGTCTACAAGGGACGGCTGCAGGGGGCGACCGCGCGTGTCGAGGTGCTCCTCCCCCAACGGGATGCCCAGCCATATCTAGTAGGAATCACCTGATACCTGGTAGGTATCATCCGATACCTCGCAAGTATCACGTGATACATGGTAGAAATCGTCTGATACCTCGCGAGTATCACATGATACGTGGTAGAAATCGTCTGATACATGATAGGTATCGCATGATACCTCGTGAGTATCACGCGATACGTGGTTGAAATCATCTGATACCTGACAGGTTTCACATGATACCTCGCGAGTATCACGCGATACGTGGTAGAAAATCGCATGATACCTGATAAGTATCACATATGATACTTGCAGGTATCACCTGAAACGTGTGTAGAATCGTTTGATACCTGATAGGTATCACACCTGATACCTACTCGAGATCATCCTGTTGTGTAGAATCGTCTGATACCTGATAGGTATCACACCTGATACCTACTCGGGATCATCTTGTTCGAAAACGGGATTCCGTTATATAGCAGCCCAAAAAAATGAAAAACAAGATTGGGAAGATATGTAAAATAAAATAGAGCACACATCTTGAAGTCTATCTGAAGGACGAAAATTTGAGTGTAAACAAATTTTTTTTCACACGAGTGATGTGTAGCAAAAACAAAAAAAAGTCGAAAATGCTTTCGGACGGATGTCCGGACACTGTAAAATATCGAACGTCGGCTTTATCCAAACATTCTCTACCACATGTTCATTCTTCTCTCTCTTTCTTCTCTTGCTGCTTCACCAGCATTGTTGGCTATCTCCACCACACGAATCATTGGTGGCCACACAGTGGTAGCGACGGGGGCAAGACGACACGGGGTAGGGGGAGGCACTAGAGCTTGCTAGGAGCCACACGGCGATGGAGGCGATGCAGCAACGCCGGCGGGGTTCTAATGCTAAAGCGATTGGTCCTAGTCGAGGTCACCTACCTCGTGTCGTTACTTGTCCGAGGGCAGTGCCCGGAGTTGAAGAAGAAGACGGAGGTGTCGGGGGACGGTATCCCGGAGTTGAAGAAGAAAATGGAGGTGGGTTTCCTCGGGGGTCGGAACCGGAGTTGAAGAAGAAGAAGACGGAGGTGGGTTTTCTCAGGAGCCGGCGACTGGAGTTGAAGAAGATGGAGGTGGGTTTGTTTTGTTGGAGTTTTAGGGATGTTGCATCCTACTATTTTAGCTTGTTGCATTCTATTGTATTAAGGTGTTTCAATTTGTTTTGATTTGATGTTGCATATATTGAATCTTCATGTTACAATCAATATGTTTCGATTGCATTTGGTTGAAACACTTCCGTTGAAGCGATGAAACAATTTTCCTTGATTGATGAAACATCTAAAACTTTTTCAGTGAAACATTTTTCATCGAGCAGTGCAACATGTGAAACATTTTACAATAATACAATGCAACACCTTCCTAGATTGATGAAATATCTGAAACTTTTTCACTGAATCATTTCTCATTGAGGAGTGCAACATGTGAAACATTTTGCAACAATACAGTGCAACACCGTCCGATGTTTTGAAAAATATCAAATGTCCTATTTGTAGCACTCCTAAAAAAAGTATGTCCCGACTAAATGAACCAATTCTCAGTTCTCTACTTCTCACAGGAAGTAAATGCATGCATACAACGTGTGCAATGTATAAGTAAATCACGCATTGGATCTAAAATATCTTTAATATATACAAGGGTATCTTGTAGGATACTTTGAAGAGTTTATATTAGAAAGAGAGAGTCGAGTGTCAGATCACATAACCTAGTCTATACATAATAAAATTTATCTAGGAAAAGAAAAAAAACAATCTGAGTTGCTGAGCTATTTAGATACACTCAGAAAAATATCAGACCCTAATTTCTATCGGCCCCTGAAATGTCAAGACCGGTCCTAGCAATGACGAAGAGGTGGTGAAGGTTGTGTCAATGGCCTTCGTCGCCAATAACTCACCGTTGCTCTAGGGCAAGAGGTCATCCGACCCGTGCGGAGGCAGGTGGCACGGCGTGACATGTAAAAGAGCTCCAAGGAGCGTCTCGCGTTGTAGGGATCAACATCTCCGGGACGAAACTAAATGGTACATTTCCAGCAACCATTGGCGAGTTGACCATGTTAGTTAAATTGCAAATAGTGTACAGTGGATTGACTGGACCATTGCCTTCTCTGGCAAAGCTCGATCAACTTCAGTCTCTACGCATAGAAGGGAACACCTTTGTAGGGCCTGGGCTTGTTCCAGCCGATTTCTTCACTTGTCTCGGTACAATGTCATACGTCAGTCTAGGCAACAATCCATTTTCATCCTGGTCCTTTCTAGACTCACTTCAGCTTGTGGAACCTCCTCTGATAAACTTCAGCGTTGATTTATGCATTCTCACCGGGCGCATTCCCCAATTCCTAGCAACATTTGCTCAGCTGACATATGTCCCAGACAAATAATAAGCTTACAGGGATTGTTCCGTTGTCATTAGGGGTTACCCCTTCATGTAGTACTTTGCCTCCATAACCAAACCCTCTCTAGCATTATAGAGTTTGCCGCCAACCTAGGAAATGTTCAAACTTTAAGACTTGATGGCAAAAATTTCAATGGTCGTCTTCTCGACTTATTAAATTTGACGGCGGAGCTGGAGGAACTATATCTTAACAACAATAGGTACATGCGTATGTATATATGCAGGTACGCTTATATATACTTGGGTTACGTATGCATCTTGGTCCAACATATTTTTAGGAGCTAGCTCAATTGCCTCGTTAATTGTGATGCCATCAATGCAATAGGTTCACTGGGCTTGTGCCTACGTCATTGCTAAACCTTGGGAAGCTTACCAAGGTTACGCTTTCGGAGAACCTGCTTCAGGGGCTTGTGTCGTCCTTCCCGTCTAGATTTACTGACATCGATAATGCTCTATTAACCAATAGCTGCCTACCGCCTACCGAGTATTGGTGACTGGGTTACACTGTAGTTGCTAGCTACAGGCTCCGTGGGGTTACCATAGAGGTTTGTAGTTAAATGGCAAGTGAACGATCCCTGTGAAAATCGTTGGGATGAGACATCATGTGACAAAAGAGGGGTACACTGTCGCAGTGGTAAAAGTGCAAGGTAACAAGGAGTTGAACAACACGAACACCTCCAGCCACAATAACACCGGTCGGTCCAAATAGTAGCACTGCAAAGTGACAGACAAGGACGACAACGCCACCTGCCGGTGTGGTTCTAGCCACTACCTGCTGTTGTGGCAATAATCGGCACCATGGGGATTGTAGTCATAGGTGTTCTGATTTACCGCCGGTGGCACAAGCCTACGACAAGGGAGGTGGTCAAGGTGGAGATGATTCAGGTGCCCTAGAACCCTCCGGCTAGTCCAGTTCTACAAATCTCTTTCGAGATCGTGGAAAGAGCCACCGGGGGTTCAGCGACGCCAACTTGGTAGTCAAGGACGGGTGCGGCAAGGTCTACAAGGGCGTGCTCCCCGTCGAAGGCGACTGCAAGAGCGTGTGTGCAGTTCGAAGCTGAGCTTGGGTGTGCTCCGGCACCCTCGCATCGTGTCACTGTTGACGTATTGCGTGGAGAAAATTATGGTGTATGAGTATATGTCATAGGCGGCGCTATCAAATCACTTGTTCCGTTAGGAGTAATATGGTCTGTGAAGAGATGAAGGAGTGTGAAGATTGCATTTGGTGTAGCTGAGGGCGACGTCTCACATCCGCTGGGAGGGATAGGGCCTGCGAAGAGGTGAAGGAGTGTGAAGATTGTAGTGTGTGGGTGGAGGGGCAAATGCCCCCATGTGGTGTGGCTGAGGGCGACGCCTCACAAAAGGAGCTCCCCTCACACTCACACAATGTTCAGCCATAAACTAATTGTTGTTTTGCTACAGTAGAAACACGTTCTACATGAAAATGACAGAAAATGACCTGCTCGGAATGGAGTTGCATCTTCACACAGGAAACTGAAACAAAATACCAATTCTCACAAGGCCTATTAGAAAAAAAAAGTTTCATGTAAAATACTATGTCATAAATATGCAGTGTCTATACATTTGTTGTCCTCCATTGGTGGAGATCTAAACTCTACTTTTATGTGATATTCTTGAGAGCAAAAGGTTAGAAAGGGGTTCCTACATCTTCTCCTGCTAGTGCCAAAGACAGGCCTAGCATTATTCATAGTTATTCACATGAATACACATTTTTCATTTTTTTTATAAAAAGTATGTATATGCAATATATATTACGTATGTGTATAAGGAAACAACAAAAGTGCCATATTAAACATTAAACATATGCTATATATTGTACCTTTAGTGCTATGTGATATTATATATGCCAAACATCAAACTTTTGGCATTTAATCTTTTTCTTACTTTTGAATACACAACTTCAAAATCCTAAGTCCACCTCTGCTCACGCCTTTATTATTATGAAAGAGAAGGAAACGGCTCCGATAAAAAAGAAGAAGAAGAAGAAAATGGACCTGGTGATCCGCTATTAGACGAGAAGATAAAAGATCTAGACCCTATTTAGGGGAACTTGTAGTTCTCAGCCGCAGCTGGTGAAAAGCTAATCAAGTCATCATATATATCCTAGCTAGCTGCATATATAATTATATCCATGCATACACATTTGTCATGCCTAAGGAGCTAGTATTCACTAAGCTGATCATCATCATAACAATTTCAAAAGCAAAAGCTGATTAGCTCTGAGTAGGCAGTACGTCCTGCATACAACTGTGGTATTGTTTAGTTACGTGACGTACTCCGATCAACCGAACTGCCCAGCGGCCGCTTGTTCCACATGGCCAGCGGTGGAGGAAGGTTTTGCCACCCAGTGTTGCCGCTGCTCCTCCTCATCTGCTTGGTGGCGGCGGCAACTGACGGCAACAAGTAAGCTACTCACGCTCGCTCATCCTCTTGATATCTCTCTTTATATGGTTACAAACTTACACTCTACACTACATGGTTCTCCAAGAAACGTCAGTGTTGATACATTTCCACCTGTAATTCGCCTCCAAGATAATTTATATAATTAACAGAATATACAATCCATATTTACATCCAAAAATCCCCAAACATATGTACACATATTTATATATGTTGCATGCTCAATTGATTTTGCTGGAAGAATTACCATGCATGTATATATGGACTTCAATTTCATCTCTACATAACACGACTTGCTTATGTTTATTACTTTTTTAAGTTATCATCTATTCAAAGTACAATTTATATTGTACACTACCAGACTAGCCTGTAGAAAAATAGGATTTACCATCAGAAATTATTTTTCTATGAGTGAACCGACAGGAATTGCCGATAGAAAAATCAAGAAATTCAATTTTCCTATGGGTTCCCTACAGAAAATCAATTTCTAACGGTTCTTTCATGTAGGTTAATGTCAATTTTTCGTTAAGTAGGACCGTCACAAAAATTAGTTTTACTGTAGGACAACTGCGGGGCCATCAGAAAATATCCTCGCCCACATGATAGATCACAAGTATGGTAGTGGTACAAGATTTCAAATTGTATGCATGATAAACTTATTAGGTTATGGGAACCAACGTGCGCTCCAATTCCTTGTCTTTTACATCCACTACACCGCAACATAGATATAGAAGCACTCAATCTGTCGGTATAAACATCTATTAATGGCACATTGTCTGTCAGGAAAGAGTTTTACCGATAGTCATTTTGCCATGAGCGTCTGCTAGGGGTTCAGCAGTCGGCAAAAGTTTTTACCGACAGATATCCTTTTTACTGGCAGAAGAGTGCCGGCAATTCTTTAGTTTTCCCAACAGACAAATAATTACTGGCAGACAAACTATTCATGGCATAAAATATTAGTCATGGCAGATTGTCTGCCTTCTTATAACACTACCGGCATATAGTTAGATACTAAGAACTACATTAGCTTTTTTTAAAAGACCATATAATATATTGCATCGAATGTACCATTGCCAAGTGCACCAATTAAATTAATGATCATGAAACAAACACATCTATTTATGAAAGAGAAAAATTAATTTATTGTTGATGACTTTATCCTTCACAAAATATATCTGTTTACAATCGAAGAAATATAGGTCAGATGCCCACACCACAAACACCCAATCTAGTCTAGAGTGCCACCTGCAAACACAAAATAGCTACTTCTGATGGCTTTGCATGTACAAAAGACGATGACCATCCTTCCAGTAGATTTCTCCATCCAAAGCAAGCTATCCTACATGCAGTTCTTCAACAAGATGTGAAACATTGCTAGAATTGGTTCAGCTATCAACCACATCCCACCTAGAAAAGATATTACACATAATAAGCACAAGAGGAATGTTACATGATCATTTTGTAATACTGAAAGTAAAACAACTATACATAAGAAAAAGGGTATTTGTTTTTTGAGTAAATTTCATAAAACTACACGTTTTGTGGTCCAAGTTATAGAAAACTATACACACTTTGACACTTGACGTTTAAGTACATATATTTTGGTAGTATAGTTTCACAAATCCACACTATCAATGAATGTATTCACCCGTGATATGACATGGCTGTTCCACTTAGGACGAGGATGTGGCATCCTATTATCAGTCATTGCACGAAATTAATAGGATGCCACGTTCTCATCCTAGGTGGAACAACCACGTCATCTTATAGGTGAATCCATTCATTGATAGTGTAGTTTTGTAAAAATACACTACCAAAATATATGTACTTAAGTGCCAAGTGTCAAAATGTGTGTGGTTTTCTGTAACTTGGACCACAAAACATGTAGTTTTGTGAAATTTACTCTTGTTTTTTTTTAACAGTGTAGCTTTCTTGTGGTTTGCAGATCAAAGATAATTGCAATAGTAGCATTGATCAACTTAGTTGCACATTAGAGAAGCTAGAAAAATCTAGACTGTTTAGGGAGCTTCTAGCAACTTAAGATTCTAAAAGAAGTTGCAGTTGCCAGAAACTCCCTCAAACAGGCCGCTAGTACATGTTGCTTTATAACAGGAGATTCTCCTTAGACTCATCAGTAGTAGTAAACGAGTATATGAGTCTGATGACGAAAAATCCACTCTTGGCCGATGGTGCCAGATCTGTGTTGGCGCGAACTAAGTCGATAAACACAACGGCCTAGGAGATCTGCTTAGCTCTAGTGCAGGTTCAAAATATTGATGAGATGCGGGCGTGCCAGTTAGTTTGATCCTACAACTGACAAGATATATAAATAAAAGGGTCGATCGGCTCAAAAGTCGATAGAGCGATATTAGCCGATGCCGATACTAGTGGATGTTGATAGAGTTTTGATCAATCAGCTATGTGTCCAATATAGAGTTTGACACTTGATATAAGAAATGACATAAAGACAATCAACGATGACAATGTAATAAAATAACAATATAATTCAATCGAAACCCCGATGAATGATACGATAGAGTGCGTGCTAATGCGATGGTTAAAGCATATATCGGCTGGAGGTCCGATGTCATTAAATCCAAACGATTAGATAAACAGTGAAACCTTTATTGCGATCAGCTCAATCCAACTTGTATGTAATCCTTATAAGCCAATGCAATGTCCAGATAACTCATTGGCTGAAACCCCGATGAAACCCTTGTTGGCAATCAAGAAGCTTGCTGGAGATTATGGTTCCAAGCACGACTTAGTAGATCAAACTTAACTGATGTAATACTAAGTATAAAAAGAAACATAATATCTAGACAATCAAGCATTTGATTGATTTTCAGGGTGGTAGATACATTATATAATCTAAGCCAGCAAAGAAATCTAGCTAATATTGACAAAACCCTAGATAGAGATCGGTCGATGCAAGTAGAAGACACTGCGAATCTATATTATATAATGTATATGATAACTCGACGTCTTACATGGACAAGATTAGAGTGTGGAAGCGATGGAAGCACTAATCCCAACAATGCAAGCCGCCATAACAAGCCTTTATCTCTCGCCGGAGATTGAAGCCGATGCAGCCCAACTTGAAACAAGAACTCGTCGAAAAGTAAAGTAAAAAGGGTGGCGACGCATCGAAGTTGTATTGATCGAGAGATAGATTAAAATAACCGCATATGTACATATTTATACCCATAGACCGACATAAGTCCCTATAGGACATGACATACAATTTTATAAAGATAAAAGAAAAACATAAAGTCCTTATTGAAAACTAAACACACTTTTTTAAAATTAAAAAGAAACTAAATGAGCTCTGCCTAATTAATATATAGAATTAAGCCGCCATGACATGGTCTTCATGATTCCTTTCTAAACTTGGCCTCAATCAGTTGATTGTGCTTTTTACTTAACCGAATCTACCAGATAATCTTATCAAATTTTTACATTAACACTTGACGGGTTTGGTTTTCATAATGCGGAAATCGGATTCGGGTCTAAACCCGCACGTGAGCCCCCACTCTCTCCTTCCCCTTCCACCCCACTCGTGTCGTGTGGCTGAGCACCGTACGACGCCTCCCCCGCCCGCCTCTCCCCGACCTCGTCGCCGGCGATGGCCTCCGCCTCCACCGCCGTGGCCAGCGCCACCGCCGGGACCACCCGTTCCTTCGAGAAGCTATCTGCCCCATGGATGATAGGCCGGGGACACGTGGCGCTCCCCCCGTCGCCGGGGCGTTATCCCGCGGTCACGGTGGCCGCGGCGTCGCGTCGCACCGGCGAAGGTGGGAGGAGGCGGAGGAGAGCCAGGGGTGCTGATCAGGAGGATGGCCTCTCCCTCAGCTCCGGTGAGTTGCGTCGTCCTCACCGTCTCCCACTCTCCAGCCTCTCCTACCTGACTAGCTAGCTCCATGTATCCGTGCTAATTAAGTATAGTACCAATTAACCTTCTAGTTGAAACCTTGAGCTTGGAATTGTTCGACGACTCATAGAGAGTCAAAGGTGTGATTAGATGATTTCTAATCATAAAACGCGCAACGATTTTGTTTATACCTCACCGAGCATATATTTATCTGTGGTGAAATTAAGTTTTCTGGTTCCCCTTATGTATAACTGTGAGCAGAAATTGAGGCACCAAGTTCCACTCCCCCCGTTCGCACTACCGACAAGGAGAGCACGAAACCTGCATCAGAAACCGGAATCACAAAGAAAGGATCAGCCATTAGAAGAGTTACTTTGGTGGTTAGTGTTTGACGATATAACGCTTCATCAGTTGATTTTCAGTGCTGCGCTTGATTCAGTAAATTGACCTTTTGCAGGTCCTTGCTGCGGTTTTCTTCGGCGTTAGCATCGCCCTGAGGGATGGGGTTGGGAAGGCATCTGAATATTTTGCTGGGTATGTGTTATGCGTCACAACTGAATTTTTATACTGAAAAATGTTTTATGGAACTGTCAGCATTTACCCATCCACCAGAACAATTGTAGGATTCCCGCCGGCACTATTATGTTAGCAAAGCCATCTAGGAAAAGAGTTGGTGAAAATTAAAAATGTATGGGCTCATTCATTGGTTTGTGCAAGTTAGTTTGCCCAGTTGCGATTTTGAACGTCTCTTACTTGCTTATTTACAAATAGTTAAATGATTATTTCTGAATTTAACTATGCTTCTTCTTTTTGTCCTCATCTCCTGTCTTTTAAATTTTATGTGTAACAATTTGATATGTTTCTGTTGTATAACAGATATTTATTGGAACAGAGTTTGTCAGTAGACAATCTCTTTGTTTTTGTTCTGGTCTTCAAGTATTTTAAAGTGCCACAGGAATACCAGGTATGATTTAGTAGTTAGTTTGGTATATAATGCCCATGTCTATTTCATCCTTTTCTTCTCACATTTTTGTGGTATTCAAAACAAGAACCGGGTGCTCTCTTATGGTATTGCTGGAGCAGTGATCTTCCGCACGGTGATGATCACCCTAGGAGCAGCTACGATTCAGGTTGTTTTTTTCTCACATGTTAACATCACTTATCTTCTTAGTTCTATGATCTTGCAGTAATTCTTCTTAACTTCTCTTTTCCTGTAGAGGTTTGAAGCAGTGAACCTATTATTGGCTTTGATCCTGCTATTCACTTCATATAAGGTGGATCGATCAATGCTTCTTTTCTTCTATTCTCCTTTTGGTGTACTAAGTTACTTTACCATGTTTGAAATGGACATATATGATGCTATTATTGCTCACCCAATACTTCCTTTTATGAGAATGACAAGTTCTCACTGTCATTTTACAAAAATCTACCTGTTTTATTTCCTGTGAAATTTCAGTCCCATCACTGTCTCTAACAACAATATACTCTAATACTCAACCAATCCTGGACTCCAGGTGCATGTATTACATTATTAAAAAAGTATTTGGCATATACCTTCCATCAGTCAATGGCTAACAGCATGATGACTTGCATCTTTTGGGGATTCTTGTTTGTTCCAGCTATCTTGTTATAGTTCAACCTAGTCCTTCCATCATTTAGTGAGCACTAAGTTGTCACACTTCAAAAATATTATGTTTTGCTTAATTGTAATGAATGGCACCTCAACATGTTAGGCAAAGCTTCTTTCGAGTAACTTCAAGTGCATTAAATATAAGTGATGTTTACGGATGCTAATATTCATTCTTAACATGATGGCAGTTATTTGCTGAAGAAGATGAAGAATCTGATCTATCTGACAATTTCATAGTGAAAACATGCCAAAGATTCATTCCTGTCACTGGTAATTAACTTCATTCGATGATTTTCAGTTTCTCTTATGACATTACATTTATATTATTTGGAACGAAACCAATCTCCACTGTGAGCTCCAGATCATAGCCATACTGACCAGATACTCACTGAAATTTTTTCCACTTCCTTCACAAGTGAACTTCTTATGAGTAGAAGTTAATATACACTCGCTTGCAGTTGCGGTTAAACTCACTCTTATGTTTCTTTTGTCAGATTACTACGATGGTGATCGGTTTTTCACAACTCAAGAAGGTTTATGGAAAGTAAGTGTCCGACTGTTGTCCAGTATAAGCTGGATCATTATCACAAGTTCACAGCAGCTTGTACACGCTTGTTAGTACTAGACATGATTGCCTTCTTAGTATTAGAAAACTGACCTGTCTACATATTAAAGAATCTGAAGTATATCTATTTGTCAGTACCCTTACAACTTCTGCTTGTGCAGAAAAGATTCTAACTACAATATAGATGAAATTGGGTTGACCATTCAATACAATAATCTGACATCAAGAGCTACCTTTTCCTGAAGATACATTTTCTTTTGTTGTTAATATCTGCAGGCCACACCTTTGCTGTTGACTGTGGCAGTGATCGAACTAAGTGATATTGCTTTCGCTGTAGGTTCCTTTGCAATCTTTTTCCTGTGCAAAGTTTCATTTTCTATTTTATGATCACATGAATGGGGATTGACATTTCTGATTTATAGATTGACTCAATACCAGCAGTTTTTGGTGTCACAAGGGATCCACTTATAGTGTTATCATCAAATATTTTTGCTATTTCTGGTAATCCTTCTTTCTTTTGTGTTTATGAACACATCTTACAACAATCCTTTCTTTTTATTCATAGCACATATCAGCACTTACCAATGTAAGAAATTTTACAAGAGAACTTTTACCACTAGCTAGGAACTTCCCGTGAGCTTGCTATTTATCAATGAATATTTCTGCAGCCTTTACTTTTGTTAGCACCTGCAGCCTGCATTCATTCAGCCAGTTGATGCTCAGAGTTAGTTTTCACAATTTTGCAGTTATCTGTTCCATAAAAGTACTGTTTCTTGCTGTAGGTATTTGGGCTGCATTCAGCTTGATTGTTTCATATAAAATTTAAATATACTAGTTATATATCTGGATATTACAGACGATGGTCTAATGTGGCACACATGACCCTATTATGTCCTCTCGATAACGCCAACTCTAGGTTTCTAGCAATCTTTGATGTTTATACCTCAGTTTGCAGACAAGTGATTGATTTGGTAATTGAGTAACTTCTAATGATGTAATTGGGTAAATGATAAATTGATAATAACATACATCATAGTTACATACTGAAAGTTGAATGAAGCATGAAAGAAGACATTAGATATCAGCTAGTTTTGATGCTATATATTTTATATGTCACACATTTTATGCACTCTTCACACATTGTTAAGTGCTTACCTTGAAAAATTACTCTATAGGTTTGAGGTCACTCTACGTACTCATTTCTGAAAGCATGTCTGAATTGGACTATTTGCAGGTACAAATCCACTTGCTCTTTTAAATATAGTAGAGTTATTTACCTATTTATGAATACTGTGGTGTACCTAATACTTATCAATTCCTTTAGCTATTTCATAGTTATACTTAATAAACAACTTGGCATTCATCACTATTGATATTCGTTGTATAGCAGTGATTACTAGCAGGTGTTACTGAACCCCATGGACATTAGCATATATCCATATATTTCTCAATTATCTACTTCTTGTTCCTCTTATTGCTATTGGCTTTTTTTTTTTTGCAGCCTGCAATTGGTATAGTTTTGGGCTTCATAGGGACAAAGATGGTCTTTGACTTTTTTGGTGAGCAACTAGAAACCACATTAGTGCACGCAATTGTCAATACTTTCTTATATACATTGCGGTTCAAGCTATGTTTTGGTTTCTCCATTAGCAACACCAGATGACAATGTTGATCTGTGGCAGGTTATCATATACCAACTGAAGCTTCGCTTGCTATTGTTACCACGTGTCTAAGTGGTGGAGTAATATTGAGTCTTAGGAAAGCATCAACTGAAGAAAAGGACAAGTAGCCGGCTTGCTGGAGAGGAGGTAAAAGGGATAAATTAACTTGGTGTTTCTTTCACAGGTAGTCATACTACAACAAATAAATTGTATCAATCATTTAATAAGCTAGAAAAAAGTACATCTTTTTTCCGAATGTTACTTGTATGCCTATGTCAAAGAACCAGACCGACGAAACATGTAATAAGTCATGTATGTAGGATTAATTAAGTCTTTCTCATTTAAATAGCTTATCTCCCAGATCAGAACTAATTTTGATTTTTTTTAAAAAAAAAATGCAGTGTAAACGTGAACTGCCAGTTAGTAAAGGCCATTGGTTAAACAAGTGTTTTTTTTTCTATCCTAGTATTTTCAGACCAGGTTCCTCCATGTTTTGCTGGCAGTCACATCTGGCCATTAGTTATCAGTCATGTCATGAGCTGAGAGAAAAGAATCCAAGAATTATCTGATTTTTTTTTTGCAGTGTTGACCTTATGTATTGAACAGAATACTTGTGATATCTGTGCTCCAGGAAACATACTTATATTTTTTGCTTTCTTCCAGGTCGAATGAAAATACTGCTTCCTGAGAGCTGCTCCTTTTATCTGGATGCAGGGGTTCATCAATGCATCATTTACTTTGATCACCAGATGTAGAGCAGTAGAGGAGGTCCTTGAGGAGTTTTCACAAGACGACCACTGGGCTTGTACGTATAGTAATGCTCGTGTGGTTTTGAAGGCAAATCACAACCAGTGGTTTTGATGTGTGACCCAGTATAGAATTATGAGGTTGATGACTGCCAAGGCATGAAGACTGGTGTCTGACATCCAAATTTAAGGCCATGTACGCCTTGGTTCGTCTTGAAGCAGAAGGGTTAGTGGAAGATCCAAAACAGCAGCAGCCTACTAGGATGACTGACTGGCATGGTAATCATAATTCTTCCCCTTTTTTTTGAGCTTGTAAAACAAGCTCACAAGCATGACATGCACAAGCAATGTCAAATTTTATTGCAACAAAACATATGGTGTATAGCTGACCATTATATTTTGGTTCGTTTAGCTACTGATCCTTATTATGTGGTTATATTAAACTGTTGTGATTCGTGGGTCTGAGAGCATTATCTGAAATCCCTTGCAACATATGAGTTCTCTGCAAGTGTTCAACATTTTAAAAAGAATGGTACAATCATCCAGCTGCTTCGATATGGGGTTCCCGAAGGTTCAGATTTCAGGATGCTGGAATCACATCATAGAAAAAGACCGCAACATCACAATAACAATTAATAATAGGGCAATTTGATCCACGAAGGTTACTAGCGAAATGACCATACTGAAGAATGCTGTTATTGTTTACAGTGAAAGATGCAGTCAGCAATAACCTTATATAGGCCGTGTTTAGTTTCCCCCCTATTCCCAACTTTCTATCACATCATATTACATCAAAAACTTAAAACTTTTAATTTTTTTTCTAAACTCCCAACTTTCTTCAAACTTCCAACTTTTTTCAGGAACTAAACACACCCATAAACTGTCATAACATATATCAGATTTTGGAGCTAATTAGACCAACTTTGAGCCAACGCCATCCACAGCATTAATCCTAATTTGCCTATGTGGATCTCACTTGGCGCAACACCTTCAACTAGACAAACAGTACTTCATAAACATATATAATTACTGGCCTAGAAGGTAAACAGCCTACTACTTGGAACATTACAGCAGTGACTATTAAGTTAACATCAGCACTAACATACTATTGGACAAGCTGTTGGTTAGCTCAGTGGGGAAACACAAGCACTGGTTTCTTCAGCATTCCTCATCAGAATCTCCATCAAAGTACTGGCACCGAGTGCTACTTTGACCTTTCTCGTAGCCTCCTTCAGATGGGTGCTTGAGCTCATTAACACCTTGGTTTTTGCATGCATTGCAACAACCTTCAGGAACAGAAAACATCAATAATAACAGTGGTCGGAAAAGAAGAGAGCAATTTGATTTGATGTGAACCGTGTATCACGCAGTGGATAACAATAATACTACTACTGGTAAAAACTAACGAAACTAAGGTTCAATATATTTAGTTAAGAGGAAAATAGGGACTCAACTCCTCATCAAGATCCAAAACCAATGTGAAAACCATGTATAACTAGACTAAATGCAACTAATACTGCTAACAGACATGCCTTTTCTTTCAAATACAACCAACAAGAGTACCAATTTTTGTGAGGACATAAAAGTGATGATATGGAAAATTATATCCTGATCATCCTAATAGCTTACACTATAGGGCCTGCCTACATCTCCAAATCAAGTACTCACAACGTACACCTAGTTTTATGTTTTCGAGGCACGGTTTCCAATAGTGAGGTAAACTTCATTGTATTTACAATTTCTGCTATGTTAATCATGTATGGATTTGGCTTGCACAAACCATTTAGATGTATTCAGTACTTCAGTACACAAGTCTTACTAGTTATTTCCGACTATCTTCTTCATCATCAGAAAGACGAATCGCATATTCAAGTGGGGACTTTCTATTACTTGCTCTAAGGTTAGTGTAGATATGATCAATACAAATCAGATATACAACATGCATGAGAAAACAACTTAATACTATTTATTCACATCGCAATTATCATACTCAAGTATTTATTTGAGCAATATGTCAGTGAAACATTCAGTAGCAAATCCTACATGTATTGTGCATCTTAAAAGATTTTTCTATTCTTAAACGAGGAAATCATATTTCCTTTACCAGCATCAAGTGGCAACTGAAACCCACAATAGTGTTATAAATGTGTAATGATAATCCCAAATGAAAGATTCATGGTTCACATTTTTCACTAATTTAATCCAAACAGTGGAGTAATTATAAGATGATGCTTTGCTTTAGATAAAAAAAAAGAACGGAATAAAAAGAAGACCGGTCCCTGCTGAAGTTTTGGCTAAAGATGTGACACAGAGTACAGTGTTAGATTATAAAAGAACATGCCATGAGTACAGTGTTGTTTGAACAATAAAGTTTAAGTAGAAACAGGCAAGAACACATACCATCATCAGTTGCCTCAAGTGGAGTGCAAAAATAATACTTGACGCCATGCATCAGCTTTGTTTCAGCAAAATAAAGCCTAGAGGTCCAGCATTCCTCATCCTTATTCTTCATCTCAACAGTGAAATTATAGTGGCAATAAACCTTCCTATATTCCATAACACTAAAGCAGTGGTGCAATATTTCACCAAACTTGTAATCAACTTCCTAAAAAAATCTTAAAATAAGAAAGAGCGATAACAATGATAATAAGATGAAATATACTAGTAGGTTTTATGCAAGGTCGCAAACCTCAAAAGCATCCTTTTCTGCAATATAGTTTCTGAACGCTAAGAATGCTTCCTCGGTCAAATATTGAAGTCCATTCGCAATTGTTTCTTTCCGAGAACGTTGCTTCACCGGGCTCACCCTACTAAAAAAGGCCTTTGCTTTCTTGTCTAGCAGATCGATGTACTCATCAGACATGCAATATTCCACTGGTTTGTTTAAGCTGTGTTTCATTCCAAAAATAGTCTGTTATTGTAACAATCATAAAGTTTAGCACGCTACAAATATCAAACCAGAAACATATATACAAAACATAACACTTATTTCTGAACAAATAATCATTTTTTTTGGCTTGGAAATCAAAGAAAAAATCATTTATAATAATATTAGATAATGATGACAAGGAGTTCAATATTTTATAATATATACTTAAAATCGTAAATAAAAAAACATAACTATCATTTACAAATATTAAATTGTCCGATTATCAGAATAACAAAAACAATCCAAATTTCCAAAGATATATTCGACTCAAGAATGAGAAGGAAGAGCATGACCAGACATCTTATGGTTACATTTATAGTATCAATAGTTTCTTGCAAGCCATTGGAGTCAAGTTACCAGAGCAAATAGTTGAAAGTTGAATGGATAATTTTTTTTATACATATAAAAGATCATGCAATTAAAACTATGTTAACACATTTTACATGTTCTTGCATGAGAATACATCTAGACCATGGGTCAACATAAATATAGAAGAAAATTGTGTTCCAAGAGATAAATCAAAAGGACTGTAATGTAACTATAGGGAAATTACCAAGGAAGACGTGGCATTTCAGCCTGTTCTTGTTGTGATGGTATTTCTGACAAGTGGCCAACATCATTAGGGTTTGGAGTGGCATATTCTTTATCAGTGTGTTGAAAAGGACCGGCGTCACTTGGATGTAGCACTCCCTCAGGCTCCTCGTCCTCCTCAAACTCAATATTCAACTTCTTGCATCTGAAAGAATCAATAACTTTGTAGAAATGGTATCGAAAATTGAAAAGGGAAGCATCTACTTAGTATTTTTCAGAAACAAAATCGACCATGTCTTGTAATTATGACGACATAGTTTGTATTGGTGTGAAAAAAGAGCAATTAATGGGGTTAACGATATACTTCATAGAAACTTCAACTGTACCTACAAGAACAAGACAACTTGTCGTCTTTGTAAAACAACATAGAAAGTAATGATGGATGAATAAACAGCGCAGAAGATGGGAGAACTTAGTGTGATATTAGCAAATAAGTCCACATTTGTTGGAGAAGGAATACTACATAACCAGAAAATACAACATAAATAAACAAGCAACTTTGTGGTGCAAATACTTGCAAAAGGGGTCTTATACAATAGAGCTATTAAATTTTTTTTGTGTAAAAGGGTAAACAAGTAGTGTATTAGAAACCGCACCACTGCATATATAATTTATGTACAAAAGGGTAAACAAGTAGTGTATTAGAGACCGCACCGCTGGATATATAATTTACGAATGTATCGTGCTACACTGCGTCCTTGCTCCTCCAGCTCAGCTTTCTTTGCCATCTGGTACATGATTGAATAATTCTGCTGTGAGGACTGATGGGTTCCTGCAGATGATTGGGCTCTGAACCTGAATAGAGAAACAACGTTAGCAATTGAGAATGCATTTGTTTGTTAAGCGCTTGTAATTAAAAAAAGGAGGAATGAATTTCAATTAGAATAGAAAAACGATTACAAGATAATCATTAATCAGAACACATGTGACCAGAAGTCGAAACAATCAGATCCCAACTGTTTGTCTCATAAATTAAGACCTTAAAAAGAACCACCAAACTGACGAGTAATGACAGAAAGTATGACAAGCAAGATTGATGAAACGCAGAAGTCCCTTCTGTCTCAATACCCTTGGCCAATGAACTCCAGCGGTTTGTGGGAGAGATCTCATCGGCATCCATGGTATACTGACAAGTCAGTGGCAATGAATGTGGGTGGGGTGTCATGGCTGCTAGCCAGGTCAATGGGTAGGGTGATTCAAGTGGAAGGGGATTGTTGGATCAGGAAGAGAGCTCGTCTGGCCATGGTGTGCCAGCGCCCAGCAGTTAGCGAGGAGGACTGCTAGGTAGGTCCAAGGGGAGAATATCAAGGAAGGAAGCACAGGATGAGCTCGACTCTCAGCTTAGTCAGCACATAAGACAATCATTGTCTCTAATTACTACTACTATATGAGGATAAACTTTTGGATACTCTATAGTTGGCCATAAGGCCCGAGGCCCGAAGGCCCGGCCCACGGCACGCCTTTTTGGCCCGACCCAAGCACGGCACGGCCCGACTTGGGTCGGGCCCGTGCCGGCCCGACCCGACTGTCGGGCTGTGCCTGGGCCTCCCCACCAGCACGCTGGGCTGGCCCGGCACGGTCGGGCCGGCCCGGCACGATGGGCTGGCAGGCCAGGCCCGGTACACAAAGTATAGGGACTAAAAATAGACATATAAATGTCAATGTCTAAAGAATAGGGACCTTAAATAGACTTATTTTAGCTATTTATATACCACAGCACAAAGAAGAGGGAGGTAAAATAGACTTTTTTTTAGCTATACAATGTCACAGCCCAATAGGAGGGAGAAAATTTAGACTTATTCTGAGGAAAAGCACGATGGCCCATCGTGCCTTCGGGCCGTGCCTGGGCTGTGAGTGCGGCACGTGGGCTGGCACGGCACGGCCCGGTGCGTCGATCGGGCCGTGCCGGCCCGACAAGCCTCGGCCCAGGCACGGCCGGGCCTGGGCCGTGCCGTGCCGGGCGGCCCACATGGCCATCTATAGGATACTCATGGCACGCTTTTCAAACTGCTAAACGGTACGTTTCGTGCGAAAACTTTCTATATGAAAGTTGCTCTAAAATATCAAATTAATCCATTTTTCAAGTTTGTAATAATTAAAACTCAATTAATCACACGTTATTACTACCTCGTTTTACGTGAAACACTTAATCTTTATCTTCATCTTCATCTTCAGGAGATTCAAACACCACCTATGTCTACATTGCTACTAATTTGGTTTCCAGGGACTTATTCCAAGTCCCTGTCACATTGGATGTTTGGACACTAATTTGGAGTATTAAACATACACTAATTACAAAACCCATTCCATAAGCTTGGACTAATTCGCGAGACGAATCTTTTGAGTCTAATTACGCCATGATTTTGACAATGTGATGCTACAGTAAACTTTTGATAATTATGGATTAATTAGGCTTAAAAAAATCGTCTCGCGAATTAGCTCTCATTTATGAAATTAGTTTTTTTATTAGTCTATGTTTAATACTCTAAATTAGTGTCCAAACATCCGATGTGACATGGGCTAAAAAGTTTTAGCCCCATCTAAACACCCCTAATGCAAAAGGAGAGAGTTTCTGTCCACCAGCACAGAGAAAACTATTCCTGAAGAACCAGGACAGAAAACCCAGAACACCCATGTCTTGTGTCTTCTCTACCGCTGCTTCCTTGCTGAACCGATAGATGCTGCCCGTCCATGCCAAAACATCTCCCTCCCACAATCTCCCATTAAAGTCCAATTAGAAATTATGTATTTGGAAGATGCCATCCTATTTAATTTAGAGTTCATTGTAATGATAACAAAATAATAATACTATATAAGACATTTTATTAGCACCACGTAAAAACATTTTCTTTAGTTTGTAAGGTATTCCCTCAATTTCGTAATACAGGGCCCGCCTATAATTATTCTTTTGCAGTTTTTTCAACATGTAATGCCTTATACCAAAGCTTGTTTTAATGCTATATTATCACCATTTTATCCCTCAAGTGGTACTACTGTTAGTTGTTATTGTTGTGGCTAAGCAGTACTACTATAGAAAAGATAGCAATGTCATTTTATCCTTTTGTGTTGTACTGTTGTTAGCTTTTAAAATTTCTTGATCTATGTACCCAGCTGATATTGCCATATATTATGAAATGGAGGGAGTAGAGGATAGAAACCTAGAACGGTACTTTCCATTAATTCAGTCTGTTGCTCTTAAGATGAAATAAAGTTGGTAATAGGCAAATAGCAAAATTAGCCAAAAGCGCACATGATGACCTTTTAAGAACATATTCCATGTTCTGCACATTATGCACAAGTCAAAATATGAAGAATAAACACATGGAACAAATCCTTACAATTGAGACATCTGATGAGGTAACTTGTCTTGTTCATGAAAGCCGACAGTATCAGCCTTGACCCTAAGCAAATACCACACATCTTAATAAAGTTAGCATGTTGCTGATTCAAATCAATTTAAAAAGCATAGCACGATATTCAATAATGAAAAGGATGCTTAGTTTGACAGTAATATCCACAATGTTTTCAGCAGGTTATATTATTTGTTCTTTTACCCTAAAAAGCATACAGTTTTTTTAATAAGTTAAAAGTATTGTCCTGACCCCTGATATATGAGCACAATTAATGCGAGAAAAAAAACACTTAAGCCTACAGTAACAATAAGTCAACATGTTAGATGCAGCTCATGGATTGGCAATACCAAACAACAAAGAATGCATAATTGGACTATGGGAGCAGATGTAAGCATGAATAAAAATGAGATGAATGGTGCAGGTGTACAATGCGCAATTACCACTGCAATCTATTCTAGCTTAGACATGGGTACATGTTAATCTGTTTTGGTATACAAGCAAGTGATTGCCAAAGTTAATAAATGACTGGAATACTCATGCCGCCATAGGAGCAATAAAAATGAGGGGACAAGACATGACGCGGTACATTACTTATTGATGCTCTCTTAGATAAATGCCTGTGTAATGGGACTATGGGAGCTGGACTAAACTATCGGGAACACGAGGCAATCAGTGTGACGGTTGTGAGATACGAAGGCTGTGTTTAGATCCAAACTTACAACTTTTTTCATCACATCAACTTGTCATACACACAACTTTTCAGTCACATTGTAACAATTTTAACCCAAACTTTCAACTTTGGAAGGAACTAAACACAGTCGAAACAATGAAGGCAAAACCATGAAACTAAAACATTTAGTATCCTATATATCTATAATTCTATATATGAAGTTCATCCTCACTAACTGTAGTTAATGTTATTTTTCTCATCTCTCATTAAGCCACATCACTTTAATTATTTGTAATCCTTGGATGATTGATCTATGGTCCAAATTATCTCCCTCATTTTCTCCTCTTATGAAATCATATCACCTCAGTTTTGCCTTTAGATGATTAATCTATATTATCTCCCTTATTTCCCTTCTCTCATTGAGCCACATCATCATAGTTTTGCTTTTAAATGATCAATCTATACATAATTCAAATTGTTATAATCACATCATCTTAACTGTTTATTGTTTTTTTTTCAATAGTCAGTCAAAGATGAAAATTATATAAAGTCATCTAGCTATCTTACATGTTATTTCTACTATTATCATACAAAATTCCCACAACAATGCGCAGTAGTTATTAATAAGATCATGCCATCAAGCACAGCATTTTCGAAAGTAAAAGGCATAGAAGGTTTCACACATAAACAAGATTATAACGCAAGATTGAAAGCATAGGAAACTGCAAGCAACGTTATCAAACATCTACCACTTCCAGCAGGACAAAATAAACTAAGGAAGACATCATACATGGTTGAATCTTCCTCCTTTGACTGGCAGATTTCTGCAGGTGGTTGGGATGGTGTGGTATCAGCACCAGAGTCAGACATTTGTTCCACTCGACTGAACAAATTTTTTAAGAATGCATGGTACTAGCAAGCAAATTTTTTTAATTAAAAAAATGCGATATTTTTTTATTAACCAATATATAAATAATTGATATAGTGTACTATGCAGATTGAAAAGATACTAGTTAGTATAACTAGAGAAGGCGATTGGATATACTAATTAACATAGCTATTGTGAGGTAGAAATAGTCATGAGAGCCGATTGCTCATCTGGTGCCTTGGTAGAAGAAACTAAGATTATGCAGAAGTGTCCTCAACATGCAAGATTTGCAAGCGCAGCAGCGATGTGATTGTAGCCCGTCGTACCTCTGGTTGTCTAAGCGCCGCGGCCTCCTCCGATCCTCCTCATCATCAGAAGGTCGCAATTGAATCAGTGGCTCCAGAACCGGAGAAGCGCTCTTCCGGGTTCTGCTCGGTGGATGGAGCTCCTCGGCTTCGCGCCGCCGGAGAATGCGTATCATGCTCGAGACCTCTGTTCTTGGGAAGCGGTGTGGGCGTCGGATTTCTTGGTCCAACATCGGCCGCCGCGCCCGTGGATTTGGGGGAGAAGGGCTCCTGCGCCAACTGGGCTCGGCATCATCGCCGGCGTCCATGGAGTGGAGGGGTGTCCGACTTGCGAGAGGTGAGTAGGGCTAGCGTTGGCAATTCGATCAAGAGGATGGGGAGCTTAGTGCCGTCGGAAAGGGTTTTTGGACACGAATAAAAAAACTTATTTCATAGCTCGCCTGGAAACCGCAAGACTAATCTTGTAAAAAAAACTAATTAGCCAGATTATCTCGTGTAATCGAATGTACATGTGAACGTGAGAACGTCTATGTAATCGAATCGAATCCAGGATCTGCTTGGAGGAGCTTTTGTGGCAACTATAGCTTTTGCTAGTATCAGAAGCATCTCAGATAGTTTAGAAGCTATATAGTTATAAAAGAAAATAAATAAAACTAAAAATCTTAAGCTCTCCAAACATGACCTCGATCCGTGTAGGATTCCGCATCCAACTCCCACTATTTTAAACAACCGGAAAAAAAAGTACTTCATTTATCTTTACCTATCTATATATCTATACCTCCCACAATGTTAGATTTATACTTCAAGAATCAGCGTCACAGAAAAACACAGAGTAACACCAGAAAAATTAATAGTAGGACACTTAGCTCCACGGAGATTACTAACAGACGGACCATACTGAGAATACTGTTATTGTTTCACAACGTAAGCTTAAACGTGCAATGAGCAAATACCCTTATATATACGACTTTGCAACTGGCATAGCACATATCTACAGATTTTAGAGAGCTAATCGAACCAGCTTTGTCGATAAGATAATATAGCTAAGTGACACTAAATATGAAACCCTGCCCAGTCAAAGCCTCAGACCTTTGTGCCATCAACATCAGAAGCAAAAACCTGGCCATAATCGCCCTTGTCATCCTCATCCAGATAGTCAGACCTTGCATTGAGAGCTAGCATCTGGCAAACAAGCCAGAAGAGAGCAGCATCAAGGGCCAGGAAAGCGGCTCCTCCAAAGAGGCCAGTCTTCGCAGTAGGGCACTGGGTATCCAGGTCATGGTGGATGTTGTTGCTTCGGTGAAGACCCTCGGTGACCGTTGCCCAGAGCAACATTGCAAACGCCAGAGCTGAGACAAGCCTGATTTCACAAGAATAGATGATGAAAATGTATCAATGGAGTTAGCAGGAAAACAAAATGCAATGTCGAGATTCTCAAATATCAGCAGAATTAAGCTAGTCCCACTAAAAATTTTGAATACAGGTAATTCTTTTGATCTGAAAAAAAAATGTGTCATTGGCACAGCTTAGCATTAATCTATGGAACTGTACACGACTAATAGAACTACTAACACCTTTAGGGTCCATCTAAGGCAATGATTCCACAAAACAAATATGTATTTTTTTTATTAATTAATAATTTTGTAGCTAATCATAATCAAATGAAGGCTCGATGAGGTGGATCCGCATCAATGCCAGATACTACTGCTTCAAATGCACATGAAATTGTTAGCTGCAGATCTGAGAATCACTTACTCAGCAATAACGAAGAACGCAGATAAGCTGGCGCTTCGAAATAATGCTCCGCGAGGAACAGACTTGCTCTTGTATGGATAGAAGATAGCGGCATGCCCTACGATGGTGGTTAACACAAGTGACACCACGGAGAGGCTTCCCATTGCAATAGTTGGGTCACTTGGGAACTTGCAGATGACAACATCCTTTCCTTTGATAGGAGTTCCATAAGGAGGCTGCATCAAAGACCAAATAAAATTCACAACAAGTAACAATTTTCAAAAGTTCATAAAGAGTGGCAGTTGATGAAAGATATAGCGCAGCAGAAGATGTGTTACTACCCTGCACTACAGTTAAAGTGTATCGGGAAATTGCACCAAGTGGTCATCATAGTGTCTATTGACAAAACCACAGATAAGCCTTCCATAATAATTATTATTATTTCTTAAACGGTACTAGTAGAAACCTTTCAAAGATGTGTACAAGACAAAACATCATTAACAGGAACGAGTATTTTAGTCAGTGAAGTGATGCACCTTCTTGTTTTCTGCGATGACACCAAGTAAGAAGGAGAGAAGGCCAAAGAAAGAGACAGTGAGAGCAATCCGTTGAGCCGAAGTGAGAGCCATCGCACCTGCATATGCCAATTTGAGATCAGACAAAATCAGTAACACAAAAATGGAGTTTTAACAGCATGGCATCGAGTAATTTAATTTCTTCGCACGACAATGACACATCTCGATCCAGGCAAGCGAAGCTATCACAATTCAAAAGACTAAAACAACATATTTAATTTTTCAAAAGTCCCCTTGCGTCCTCCCATTCGCTTCATCTACTGACGCACGCAATCTTAACAATCCCTCTCAATCAGGACGACACCTCTTCTCCTAGCCCGAATTGGGAGGGAATGGAGTTAGATCGAACTCCCAATCCATCGCATCGGCCGATCTATTCCTCCTAGCCCACTCCCCTACCAGCATCACCCCACCACCACCAGCCAAGACCCAACAAGTTCACTAAAACAGTGGGGATTTTCCCTCCCGGTGGTGACGACAGATCGTCACCAAACTGAGCACGACGAATCTGGGGAAGGGGACGATGGAGGAGGAGAGAGATTACCAACCAACAACGGCAGCAGCAAGGCGAGGCGGGCGGAGGAGCAGGAAACCCTAGGAGGAGGAGGGGATCGAGCAGATGGGAAATCGCGTGCTCCACTGGAATCCCTTCTTCTCTCCGCGAGCTCGGCGAAAGGTAGTTAAGTTGGTCAACTCAACTCCTAACTAACCGATAGGCTTCCCCGATTTATACGGAAGAGATGGTGGTTGGGCCTAGTGGGCCCAAACTAATAACAACCTGGGCCTAGTTGACTAAAGTGGGCTTGTAAGGCCCACAACCATAGTAACAGAAATTGCATCGTCCAAAAAGGTCTAGAATATGCCTCGTCACGCAATAATAACAGCTCTAATCGCGAAAAGATTTGAGCAGCCAATCTATATCTACATACAAGCTAATTGTTGACAGTTTTGCTTAGTAGTAGTTGCATGGAAATTGCAAGTCGCTGAGAATTCTCAAGGAGCAGTTGATCGAATGGATATTATGCCTTCGAACGACATGATCGAAGGGTTGGTAGAGATGCAACGGGGTTCGGAGTTTTAAACTGCTGACGTTTTGAGACACTCAATCTGCACCGCGCAGCTTTGATCGAACGGTTGGTAGAGACCCGGTCGGGTTCGGAAAAAAAGGATTGATTACCAGACCACTTCAGTCTTCAGATAAAACTCCCTCAATCCAAGATCAATACACCACCTTCAACATTGCTGGTTTGGTTTCAGGATTTCATTTACATGAAAAGATGACAGTGTAACACATACTGCAGAGATATGTTGCATCTCATCTCGTCTGATCTGATCAAGACGATCACAAGTTCACCACGAGATCGAGAGACTAACCGAAAAAAGAAAAAAGAAGAAGACTTCATTGAGCCGTCTCCTGCTCCTCGCACTCTCCTCCCTCCTCGAGCTCCATCTGGTGACACAGACAACGCATGCAATCCCTTTGGGTCGCCGAGGATCTGAGAATTTTCTGTCAGCTGCAAGCTGAAGTCAATCTGCCACTTCATTTTTCAAAATTTCAGGATTAAAAGAGAAATGATTGTTAGTCGTGGACAGCAGCTGCAGAAGTGCCAATTATTCTATTCTTCCTTTTTTTTTAATTTCCTTTTTAAGACAGATGGAATTCAGCGGAGGGGATGATGTGCAAATTTCAGTAAAACAGCTGATCATCTGGGAGGCCGACGAGGATCGTTTGAGGGTAACTAGCATGTAATCAGGACGTAACTTGTACAATTCTATCATACATATGTGGCTTGCGGGTTTGATCCCCGCAAAAACATGTGTGAAGTTTTCCTCTCCCTCTCATGCACGAATTTATAAGCACATCTAACGGGGTTTTTTTTTATAAAACTGGCGAATGTTCTACAGCAATTCCGAAGATTTTAATGACAATAAAACAAATCAACAAAATAATGATATTACCTTTCCTTGAGAAAACCATGAGAAACTTTAGTTTTTTGTTAATAGAACTTTTGTTGGATCCCCGCTTCTGACATATTCCCAATTGCATAAGTTCATGGAAAAAACAATCTGACTAAATGGGGAAAAAATGCACAGCCATGTTACTAGCAAAAGGGAAAATCAGGGAGTTAATTTTAACTCCGCTGGGAACAATGACAGCCATGTGTGATCATCAACGTGATAGGTAACGATTGGAGTTAGAAAAGAGTACCGTAGATTAGTAATACCTCCGTCCCAAAATAAGTACAGCCATAGATATCCGTGTCCAACGTTTGACCGTCCGTTTTATTTAAAAAATTTGTGAAAAATTTAAAAATATTTAGTCACACATAAAGTATTATTCATGTTTTATCATCTAATAGCAATAAAAATACTAATCATAAAAAAATTTAAATAAGACGAACGGTCAAACGTTGAACGTGAATAGTGTAAAACTACACTTATTTTGGGACGGAGAGAGTACTAGGTTAGCCTTGTGAATATGTATGCCTAGGAAGAGGACATGTCAAATCAGAAAATCATCTTCTTGTACTTCTACTACTACTACAGTACTACAATCTACACCAAACAAAAGAATTTCTAACTAAATTCGTCGTAATTAAGCAAAAGTTCCGGATTGCTACTCTAGTTTGAGTGAGTAGGATCATGTGGGTTTAATTATTTTTAATTGCATTTGTATTATTGTATATATCACTTGTTTTTGCTTTTAAGTGTCACTATTATACGTGAACTGTTTTTATACTTTTTATGCCACCGCATAAGCGTAATATACACACAACACTTCAGCACAGGTCATATGAAAGAGAGCAAATCAAGTAGAGTTAATTACGCGATATATAAATTAATTAGCACATGAGCCTGATCTCGAATCCTCGTCGAATCTAGGGCAGAGTGGGCAAATCATTATGTTACTTAGGTGCTACAACATTCTTCTCTTTTGCTACCTAGCTTGAAATGAAAGAAGGCCAGTGAAGAAAAGGTGTTAGGAGTATCTTGTTTAATTAGTTCCTAAGTACAAGGTTCACAGGCTGATAAAAATACAAAATTAGTATAGTAATAGTATACATTATTATTTTCGCCTTGTCATTGATCCCGAATCCTGGTTAGAATCTCAATCTTATGGGCTCAACTATTATCAAACTTAAGCTACACCTGACAACCTTTTCCCACAAGAACTAAACAAAAAGTTCAATTTGCATCTCTCGCTGTTGTTCGAGTCTGGAGATGGCTGCACGCGTTTATGAATTCATCCTGCCTTATCTTGATAAAGGGGAAGTGCTTCACGTAATCACGTTTTAGTTTTGTTTATATCTTGAGGACAGAGGAAAAGGATGGCTAGAAAATCACACCGAGAGATGTTTACGGTTTACCCACTAGAACTTTGGCAATTTCTTTGGATGAGCATGAATTTCAGTTCAATTTTCTCACCATTGAAGGCCATGCACAAATACACACACAATAAAGACACACAGGAGGTGGGAAATCAAACATAAGTGCTATACAATGCTTAAGGCCTACTTTGGAACCAAGGAATTTTATGGAAAATTTTCGTATGTAGTCCTTTGAATTATAGGGATATATTCCAAAAAATCGTATAGGATTTCTTTGAGTCCTCCGCTTTTTACCAGACAATCAATCAAAGTTAATGTTTTTCATTTTCTTTCAGAAGTCCAAGGTAAATATTTCTTTATCTATCCTCTTTTATGTATTCTAATAAAGTGTGTAATTTAGAATTCCTATGATTTTCTATCCTAGGCCCCCTTTGATTCAAAGGAAATTCATAGGAATTTTAGAGGATTTTATTCCTATAGGAATTTTTCCTACAAAGCCCTTTGAATCAAAGGAATAAACCTTATGGAATCCTATGAAATTCCAATGGAATGTCTCTTTCCATACAAGTTTTGGAGGAATTTTAACAAGAGGTAGAACCTAATGGAAAAAATCCTTTGAGTCTTTTATCTCTCTTCAAATTCCTGTGTTTTTCCTGTGGTCCAATCAAACGATCATTCCTATGTTTTTCCTGTGTTTTGCAATCCTCTGTTTTACACTTACATTTCTGTCAGAATCCTATGTTTTTCCTATTCCTCTATTTTTTCATTCATGTGATTCAAAGGGGCCCTAAATTCACATGTTTCTATTTCCTGTAGGATTGAGCTAACCATGACACTCTATTTCCTGCATTTCCATATTCTTGTTTCTTTTTCAATCCAACAATCCCAAAGGAACCTAAACCAGAATCTTTTTTGAAACAAACAATGCTTAAACGAGAATCAAACCATAACCAAATTGAGAAGGGCACCCATCCTAACTACTCTTATTAAACTCAGGGTTTATTTGGGAGCTTAAAATTCCGAGAAGCAACTGGTTGGTAGCTAGCTTCTGAGAATCTGAAGAAGAAGAAGCTGAGAAGATTCTAAGAAGCAACTGGTTGGTATTTAGCTTCTGAGAATTTAAAGAAGTTGAGGCTTCTAGTCCATTTTTTGAATTCTACAATACAAATTCTTAAAATCTGGACGAAAAGTTATATTGTTTGGGTGAAGTTCTGATCCTGGCAGAAGCTGTAGGTACCAGAAACTCTCGTTCAAGCTCTTAGATTCTTACTCTCTCCGTCCCAAAATATAGCGATCTAAGATGTGATGAGACCCATCCTAGGACTATGAACCTGGACATAAGGTATATTGTAGGATGGGTATCCTAGGTTGCTATATTTTGGGACCTATTATAGGTTGCTATATTTTGAGAGGTAGTATTAAACTCAAGGAGATAAATGGGGCAGGTAAAGAAATGGGTTTTTGCACAGCATGTGGGAGTGAGGCACAACCAACTGCACAGTGCACACATACCTATGGCCCCATTGGGTTAAGAGCTGAGCTCGCTCTCACTGTTCAAAGTTTTTAGAGCTCCCTTTCGGACCAAAGCCAAAGGCTGGTCAAACAAGCTACAATTGCCACCCTTGTGACTGAATGAATGCCATCATCTCTTCTGCACTGCCTTCTCTCTGTAATTACCACCATAGAGTATAGTAGTAAGCCACTGTAAGAGCAGATACAATAGCAAGCTATAAGCCAGTTATAACCATATATCGAGAAGAAAAGAGAAGAGAGAGAAGAAAACGGGATACAGATTTATAGCCAGCTGTAACACAAACTCTAAGACGTTATGTGTGTATGAAAGGTATGACCGGGTATTAATGATGTATATTTTTATAGTTAACTATTATATGAATAGGCTATTAGATTAGCTATAGATAATTTGGAGCCAGTAGTTGGCTATACTATTAAATTTGCTCTAACAACAACTACTAGCTGGAGTTGTACTAGGGTAGTAGTAAGAGCCAATCATCTTCTTGAGTGAGATAAAGAGAGAGAGGGGAAAAAAAGGAGAGCAGATGATCATATCTGTCCAGCATTTTATGTGGTGATTAAAAAGAAGGGAAATGCTGAGCCTATCAATGATGCTGGCTTGGTTGGTGTGTTGGTAGGCTTTGGAAAAGAGAAGCTTATTGGAGTATTACTAGTATTTTTTTTAGAAGCAAAAGAGGGAGATTATATATTACTGTACCCAATGGGGTTGGGTGTGAGTGTTACTGCTGGTCAGTTACTACTTCCACAGCCATTGAAGTCTTTTGTTGACTGCTTTTATCCTGCATCGTTAGCTTTGCTTGTTGCTCCGGCCTACGAGCACTCTACTCCTTTTCTTTTTTCTTTATTTTAATTTTTTTTCTTTGGGGTTTGCAGAACAGAACGGAAACCAAACCTGCGTTGAATTGAATGGCGACGTTCCAAGGCGTTGTTGCGTTTGTGTCTGGATTCTGCAGAGCGGATATGACTTTTCAGCTGGAACATTTTACTTCTTCCCCTGCTTCTGCTTCCTGCATGCATGAGCAAAAGATTCTGAAATCTGAACAACCAAGTTACTACTGTACTTATGTTAGTTCAAATCAGAGAATTTCATTCTATATATGGAGTTTATCCTGAAGCTGAAACGCTGAATATGAAATGAACCTCCTTGTTATCCTGAAAGAGCAAGGAGTAATTGTCAGTACTTCAGTATTAAGCTTGTCTCCTGTCCTGACAACCAAACAAGAAAAGGGAAAGGGGATTTAAAAAAGAGAGAGAGAGAGAAGCTGGCGACATAAAAAGAAAAAATCAAGAACTAAAAGGAAACCAAAACGAGCCATGCAAAGTAACGTGATTCAGCAACAACAATTTCTGTTGCAAGTGAGGCACATCCTCCATTCCTGCCTGCATTTGCATTCCCATACCAAACACCAGCTCACACACACTGTCTTCCAGAAACAAAAAAAAACATTTTCTTCTTCTTGATAAAAAAAATAAAAATTGTTGCACATGGAAAAGAAAAGAAAAGAAAAGTCTTACCATTCCAAGTAGTAGAGTGACTCCAACACAAAACCCTACAACTATAAACCATTCTCACCACACTCTTCTCCCTCACTTGTATAGAGAGACTCATTTTGTCCATCCAATCCTCCTCCACCCAAAGGTGGCAACAATGGCGAGGGCCCCCACAATGGTGATCCAAGAGGACTACATCGACATGGACCTCACCCCGACCACCACGCCGCTGCCCCCCTCCTCCCCCCGCCTCTGCGGCGGCGGCGGATTCCGGGAGTTCGAGTTCCACAGCTCGGGCGCCGTGGTCAGCAAGGCGTTCGCGTCGCCGGCCGACGAGCTGTTCTACAAGGGCAATCTCCTCCCCCTCCACCTGCCGCCGCGGCTGCAGCTCGTGCAGAAGCTGCTCCAGGAGCAGCAGGTGCAGGTGCAGGGGACCAAGAAGGAGGTTGAAGACGACGACATGGTTGACATGAGCAAGGTGTGTGCTGCCAAGAAGTACTCGTGGTCCAAGAGGTTGAAGCTGATGAAGAGGTGGACGTCGAGGGAGTACATCAAGTCCCTCTTCTTGGCCACCGCCAAGCCGACCGGCATCGCCGTCGTCGGCGGCGGCAATGGTGGCGGCGTGATGGATCAGGAAGAGCTCTGCGGCCACCGCAAGTCCTTCTCCGGCATCATCCGGCGGGTGCGGCTGGTGGCGACGAAGGCGGCGTCGGCGTCGGCGCCGGGGACCTCGCCGCTGTGCTCGACCTCGTCGTCGTCGTCGTCCACGCCGTCCTGCGGCAACGCGAGCAGGTTCTTCCCGGCGGCGCCGGCGCTGAAGCGGAGTAGCAGCGCCGGGTCGTCGGAGGAGGGCGCCATCCAGGGCGCCATTGCGCACTGCAAGAGGTCGCAGCACCAGCACCTACAGCAGCAGAGGAGAAGCGTCAGCGACGTGGTGTTCTACTCGGTAACCAACACGCCCAGGGTGTCATCTGTCGCCGCCGCCGCCGGCGGCGAGGTCGCCCAGGGGGAGAGGCAGGAGATGTGCAGGGGATGATGATTTCATTCTCTTCTTGATTTGACCGTCATGGCTCATGAGGTTGACAAGAACAGAAGAAGAAAAAGAAGACCATATTTTTTTTCTTGGTTTCATTTTCTGTTTTGGTTGTTCCAGAGTCCCTGTGAAGATGAGCAATGTTTGTTGTGAATGAATTGCTGTGATGATTCATGGACTCTTTTCTTCTTTGATTCTCCCCTTCTTGTTTTGTTGGACCAAAGGATTTTAGCTGTATGATATATGAATCTCTCTGTTCATTTGTTTCAGTTCTGAACTTCTGATGCATTCATCCCCATCCCAATTTCTTCATTCCTGGTTTGTGTTTGCAGAGTGTTGCATTGCATTACCAATATTTAGAACACATTGCATTGCCATAGCAGTGGAATTTTCCCTGTTTCGAAGTAGTGTTCTTCTTTCCTAATGTAGCATATGAATCTTTAGCTTTATTAATATGAATCTCTGTTCATTTGCTTCCATCCTGAATCTGTTCTGAACTTCTGATGCATTCATTTTCATACAATTTTCTTCCTTGTTGACAGAGTGTTGAGAAGCATTGCATTCCAATACTGCATTGCGTTGCATTACCATAGCAGTGGAGGGAGGGGGGGGGGGGGGTAGAAGTTGTACTGTTGTGGGGCTTGGGGTACTGTACTGATAAATGGTGCTAGGGTGGCACTGACTTGGTGGCAGATTTGATTCCTCTCTCGAAGTACACTCTCTTCTCGCTACTTGACCATACCATATGCCTCATGTTCATGCAGGAGTAGAGTGGAGTACCAATCAATCTTTTGGCTATAAATTGCATCATGTATTACCCTTCACCTACCTCACATCTCTTTGTGTAGTTGTACAAGGCACGCCAAAGTCCAGGCTCCCAAATTAATAAGCAGACATCTCTTTGTGACTTTGTCAGCTTCCACGCCACGCTCCTGCTGCATCTCGCTGTTCCTTGGCTTCAAAACAAAGGTTTTGTAGTAGGAGTAGTAGTGTATTCACTGAAAAATGTATAAATGAAAATGCAATGCATGCTTGCTTTCAGTTGAGCTCACTCTCATGGCCGGTGATGCTTTTGAGGAATCTAGCAAGAGGAGATTAGGGGTCCCATGTATCTGCAGACAGACATCGAGATGGAGCAAATGCAGTGATGAGCAAACAAAATCAAGAACAAGCTAACAGTACTCCATTGCCATCGATTACGGATGGCATCGTCCAAAAAGACCAGACTAGTATCTTCAAACCATCATTTCAAAAATTTTGTATACTGTCCTACCAAGATGGTTCGGATTTGCTGCTACTCCTTTTGAATTGGGAGATAGTAGTAAGTATAGCATCTGAAACAGTTGCAAGGTAGTAGCACTAGCAATGCAGTATACTCCCTCCTGTTAGAGCAAGTCTAATAGTATAGCCAACTACCGGCTCCAATTCATCTATAGCTAATCTAATAGCTCATTTATACAATAGTTATATACTACACTATTAATACATGGTCCCATCTGTCATACACACATTGCGTCTTGGAGTCCGTGCTACAACTGGCTATAAATCTGTAGCCCGCTTCTCTCCTCTCTCTCTCCTCATTTATCTCCTTAAAATATGTTTGCAGCTGGCTTAGAGCCTGCTATTGTACCTGCTCTTAGCATTGGTCACTGACACACTCACACAAACACAGTAGGGGTGGCCAAAAGGGGAGCAGCTTTGGGGTTGTGATTGCCAGTTCCCAGTTCTCCCACCACCATGGCTTGTCCAGCCAGCTTCTGATTGGGATGGGTCATGCAACAACACACAAACAGGCCCAGATGAGCACGAGCAAGCCCTGTGATGAGCCAGAGAGAAAGCAAGCAATGGCATAAACACAAGAGAGATTCCATACTTTCACCATACCTGTGCCTGTGAATGACTGTCAAAGTTACTACAGTGCAGGCTTAATGTTAACAGCACCTTGGATGGAGCAAACCATTTGCCTGTCAAACCAGCTCTCAGGATACAACCAAAGAATCTTCCCAGATGAGAGAGGGAAAAAGGGGGAATTGGGGTGGATAAAGTGGCCATGGCAAAAAGTTTTCACCTTTCTGTTGCTCAAGAGGAGAAGAAGAAAAAAAAGAGAAAAAGTTTCAAGGAGAGAGATTTCCAATCGCAAAAAACAACTGGAAAAGTGTCAAGAGCCTCATATGATGACAGCACTCACCAGTGCTTTGGTTCGTGTGCAATCCTTAGCTAACAGTTGTCGTGTTCTTGGATGCAAAATGAGTCATCAAACGAAAAACCAAGAAAACAGTACTAGTAGATTAAATGTTGGCAAACCACAACCATCAAGTGGTGGCACAGATGAAGCAGAAGAACAATGGAATTACTGTACTGTTAGGTTGTTAGCATCTGGTAACTCGGCAGCAGTAGCCCAGAAGGGGCAGCAGATTGTTTGACTGACAGGTCAAAGCCATGAAAAGAATATATAAACGTTTCACTGAACAAATCGACCAAGATATGATACTTTATGTTGATGGTACTACCTCCATCCTAAAATAAGTGCAGCCATAGATATGCGTACTCAGCGTTTTGACCATCCATCTTATTTAAAAAAATTATGAAAAATATTTAAAAAATTAGTCACACATAAAGTACTATTTATGTTTTATCATCTAATAACAATAAAAATACTAATCATAATCTTTTTTCAAATAAGACGAACGGTCAAACATTGGACATAAATAGTGCTAAAACTGCACTTATTTTGGGACGGAGGGAGTAGTAAAATGCAGCTGCAAGGCAGGACAGGCTTCAATGCTTCATCCAACTTAGCTCATGTGATGATAAGAACAATAATAATATAATGTGCTAATGTTTGTTTCTAACCAGTAAAGGACAAGAGATCTGACAAATAGGATTTATACCTGTAGACAGGAGGCACCAACTTCATCACCTTGTTTTGTCCCAAAGATCCAAACTGAAACATGTAAATCACCTTGTTATTAGGGCAAGCTAGAATCCCAGAACCACACAAAATGACTGAATCCTGTGAAATTCTCGTTCCCATGGGAAACATTTGCTGCTGACCCCTGTGATGGCCATGCTGTGCAAACGCCAAGAATTGCATTCAGGCATTCAGCCACCGACCATACGTCATATGTAGGGTTTCACGATTGGAAGATCTATGATGGCAACAATTCAAATACTTTGGTATCTCAACCTGAGCACCCAGAAGAAATATTGTACAAGAAATTGCTGCAACAGATAAAATCATGACTCGAAAGACTTGTCTCACTATCACTTTGCTTGTCAACACATAAATCAATTAAGCAAAGAATCAGATGCATCTGTTTATGATGTCTGCTACCTTCCTGCAGCGTGGAGCATAGTCTACTGATAAAAGAAACCTAGATATCCAAAACAAGTTACACTTTTTGTTCCTCAGTATGTGTTTGTTCATAGCAACTCAAGAGACACACATATGGGGACAAATAAGCTCCAGAAGTCAGAAGCTAAATACAGTAGCCAGAGTCGAGCACATCATGTTAGGGCCCCTTTATATATATAGGCTGCAATGCTAGACAAGCTGGGCAACTTTTCTGCGCACGATTCTCTAGTTTCTTAGCAAAGAAAATCGATAGAGCATCACTGTTAATAACAAAAACTGTTGTGAAATGAGTTTGGTTATCACCTGATTTCATGGTCCTCTAAGCATGGTATTAGGTGTGATCATTTCTCAGTAAATCTGAACTTTTCCAAGACAGTCTTGATTGATGTCCAGTTTCCATACAAACTCTGAAGCCAAGCCAAGATAGCCTGAACCTAACCATGGACATTGTTTCTTATGGTTTGTTTTCTTAACCGCTTATTAAATTCTGGAGTATTGCCTTTCTTGAATGGTCACATCTCTTGAAGACAAAATTGAATACTAAGATATCAAAAGAAAATGTTACAGTTAAGGTGTCTATACAGGTTTTCAATGGCACAGATAAAAATAGGAGTTTTCTGAAGAAGATGAATAATAATTTACAACGGGGATAACTTGCATACTACTAGCATACTACCCAAAAACAAAAGTAAACTAACTCTGCAGGAACAATGAAGGGTAGTTGAAGCACACTCAAAGCTCATGAGGATTGAGGAACATGCTTTAACCTGATGATAATCTGCATAAGTTAATACAAAAAGAGAAAATGTAAAAAAGGAAAACACGAATTGAAGGAACCATTTTAAACTACAGTTGCAGGTTACCTTTGTTTTGTCATTAACACCAATATAGTCACATAACTTCTTGCCCATGGCCAGCTCTTTTCCAGCCCACCAAAGTTGAACATTCTCAAGCTTGTCGCCTGGATATCGCTTACAAGAACAAGTTAACAGTAAGCCGATGATATTCTGTGTTAAGTGAAATAGGGAAGAAAAACCATGTTACGACAAAAAAATAGCCAACTTCAGAGTCAGAACAACTCACATCAGGGTCGATACAGTTTATAAAGATTGACGGAACTACAAACAAAAGATGGAAATAGCCAATCTAGCAGGCAATTCATTATTTTTCTCCAGATACAACATTTACTACCGTTTCATTTGGAAAATCATATCTTCGTCACGCAAATTCAATTCATGCATTACCTGATGATTTCTGTTGCAGGCACAACGCTTCAGGAGACTCCTGTAGAGCGGTAACAGCTGTCTTTTCGATGTTCTTGATATGCTCCCTTAGAGCACGAGGGGATAAGAATCTGTTGTACCGCACTTGCTCCTGGAATAAAAACCGGGCACATATAAAAATCTCGAACGGAAATACCCTGGAAAGGGGCTGTCGTTTCAACTTGAAAGCTCTAACATTGATTGCAACAGGCATATATTTGCTTAATTAGCTTGACACCTTACAAAATTTAGCTTGACAAATGATGAAGATTGAAGAGAACAACGATGCCAAGTTTAGATTCCCTTTCACAAAACAGTAATTGCATAATGGTAGTTTGTACCAGAGAATAGTTACTGGTCACTTGTGGTGACAGATGCAATATCAGCCTATCATCCAATTAAAAATCATGTAACATGTATTAGTAGCAGAGAACTAGTGATACATTTGACCTGTGGAATTAAATTTGAAGCCAATGTCCATTTCCATTTGGCCTGTGGAGTTCAATTTGAAGGCTAGTGTACTCAATCAATCGTAGCAACTAGGAAGAAGATTGATATGAACAATTCAGGCGACATACTTTGAAACCCACAAAATTATAAATCGCTCAAAACTGTAACAACCAAATAAAACTATCTGAGCTGAGCAGCATCCGAATCGGAGTGAGAAGCTGACCTTGGAGGCGTAGGATTCAGCCTCCGCCACCGCCCTCTCGACCTCACCCGCCGCTGCTGCCGCCGCCGCGCCCCTCTCTGCAACACAAACCGCAACGCGTCAGTTCATGACAGCAGCCAAGGCTTGAGTGGGTCTCGCAGAAGAAGTTGCGGTGACCTGACCTCGAAGGGAGCGGCAGAGGGAGAGCAGGCGGGCCTGGAGTGCCGCGACGCCGGCGAGCGCGGCCGCCACGTCCTCGACGGGGGTGGAGGCGGCGCACTCGTGGAGGAACTCCATCTCTTCCTCCTCCGGCGATGACGGTGGCGGCGGCGAGGAGGAGGAGGAGGCTGCAGCCCACCTGACGTGGAGCACCACCATCTCGTGCTCGCCGCCGCGCCGGACTTCGCGGAGCTTCTTCCTTCCCCGCTCTGGTGGGATGATGATGTCATCATGATTGTATTGTGTCGTCTCCGTTGGGAAGGCAGCCCACTACAGTTGGACCGGAGCAAAAGATTCCAGCTTAAATGCGGCCCATATATGTTGGACCAGAACTCTAGTGCGGCCCATATGTGTTGGGCCGGAACGGGATATGGGCCGTTTCCCTGTCCGCCGCTCCACCGCCCGCCACCGCCGCTCCAATTCCATTCCTCGCAAACGGCCGCCGACGTGAAGAGAAAGAGAGAGAGAGAGATAAGGGGGAGAGAGTGAGAAAGAAGAAGGGTTGGAGAGAGAGGATGACCATGTGGGCCCCACAGTCAGTGGGTCCATTGTATATTTTGTGTGTGGATGACATGTGGGTCACACATATCTATTTTTAATTCTAATATTACATAAGCGTCACGTCAACGCCACATGTGATGAAAACCCAGTCAATGCCGCCACGTAAGCGCCACATCAGCGAAACCACCCTCCAAAACCACTAAGGGAGTCAAATTACACCGATTTCATATTTCGGGGAGACATTCTATCCGGTTTTGTGGTTAAAGAGCATGAATTAGATTCAACCGACTTTTAAGGGAGTCTGACGGAGCGTGGGGCTCCTTACCGGGAGACCGCGCAGGCCCCCCTTTGCCGGTTCGGCCGGGGGCGCTAAGTGAGGTTCTTCGCCCTCGATCTGAGGAACGTCAACGAGAAAAGAAATGCGCAAGACACGGGCGACGTAGACAGGTTCGGGCCGCTGAGAAGCGTAACACCCTACTCCTGTGTTCTGGTGGATCTGTGTGTGAAGGAATCCAGAGGGCGGAGAGTGAGAGAGAGTTCAGGCTCTAGGAACCATTCGCCAGAGTCCCAACTCCCCCTCCTTTCTTTTCCCCCCTCTTCTTTTCTTAGGCCTGGGCCTCCTTTTTATCTGGTCAGGGGTCACCACATGGGCCTCTAGCTGCCTAAGAAGGGAAACATGCTTTTTACAATCAGGGCTAATCTACAGCCGGAAATGACTTCTGACAAGCAGAGCGCACGCCTCCTGCCCCGCTCGCCCGCTTTTCCCGGTGGACGCCCATTTCAACCTTCATTTAATGGCCAGCGACTTCCTTGCCATACTTGCGCTGAAGCCTGGAACGAATCTGACCGGGACTGACATACCAACTCCTGGAGTTGGCACGCCGGCTCCGGCTAGGGACAAGAGCCAGGAAGCTCTCATCATTCCGACGGGACGGGGCGAGGCGTGTGACAGGTCGCCTATTGCCACCTAACCCGCGATCTGACCGGTCTGTGACCGGTCACTCACCGCGACCGGTCACGGACCGGATAAGCGTGCGCTGCGCCGCATTAAATGCGGCGTGGCGCGCTCGTCCAACCTGCTATAAATGTGGTTAGGTGAGCCCGCTGTGCTCACCTAACCCACACACGTGGCGCCAAAACCACAGGGGGTCGGGGCGCCCCAGCCCTCGGGGCCGAAACGGGAGCGGCCCGACCCCTCGGGGAGACAGAGGGAGGGGTGGCCACGTCACCTTCGGGCCCGACCCCCCCGAGGGGGTCAGGCCACGTGGGTGACCGCGGCTACCCAAGCCTCTAGTCACGATACCCCCGGCCCCATGTCACCGACAGTAGCCCCCGGCGTTACGCCAGGGCGATCGCCCCCCTCGAGGGAAGCGCTCGGGCGTGACGCCACTCCTTAGGCCCGGTGACAGGTGGGGCCGGTCCCTACAGGCGGGCAGAAACCCAGCGGTCGCAAATCGCGCGCATCGGCAAGGGAAAACCGACCGACAATAATGAGCGGCCTCTTTAAGACCGCTACATTACTCGAGCAGCGCGCGAATCGGGACGAGCCGGTTTGTTTCGCCTGGAGACATGATGACGGCGCATTTCACGGTTGGCGGGCGTAGTTAATGCGCGCACGATCTGCCCCATCTCGACTGCCACGGCCGCACATCTGCCGCGTGCGCCGCAAACGGGCGAGCGGGGTTAGTGGAGGCGTGGGCGCGAGAAACGAGGGGGCGAGGTAGTGGGCGCGGGAATCGAGGAGCCGGGCATAGCGTTGGCAAGGGTGTAAAGACGCCGAGGGAGGGATTCGTTTCTTTCCTCTCGCCACTCTTCCCCTTGCCTTCGCCACTTGTGCTCTAACTCTTCGTTTCCGGTGCCCTACCCTTGCCGCACTCGCTCGCTCTCAAGCTCCTCCTCCGCCGGCGTCATGGCACGGGGCTCCGCACCGCTCGACGGTAGCGTGCTGCCGCCTTCCCGCATCGTGAGCGAGAGGCAGGCCGGGCTGCCGCGCCGATTCATGCCGGAATCTGCCACCGGCTGGGAGGTGGTCGCGCTGGGCGAGGGACGCCCGGCGCCACACTACCCGGGCGGTCCGTCTTCTTCCTCTCTTTCGCAATGGCGGGGCTGGTCCCGCCATTCTCTATTTTTTTCATGGATATTCTGGAGTTTTATGATCTCCAGATGGCGCACCTCACCCCCAACGCGATAATGACGTTGGCCATCTTCGCACACCTGTGCGAGATGTTTATCGGGGTGCGCCCATCTCTCCAGCTGTTCCGGTGGTTCTTCACCGTACAGCCGGTGTCGCCGCTGACGGTAGTCGGTGGCTGCTACTTCCAGCCGCGGGGGCAGGTGCTGAACCGCTACATTCCCTGCGTCCTCCGCAAAAAGTGGGACGACTGGAAGAGCGATTGGTTCTACACCCCCCTCGCCGACGAAGCGCGCCTCCGACTTCCGAGCCAGCCCCCGGCGCAGGCCTCCAGCTGGCGGGCGACGGTAGATCTGGGAGACGGCTACGACGCCGTTCTTGACCGCCTGGCGGGTCTGCGATCCCAGGGGCTCACGGAGGCCATGGTGTTCGGCGACTACCTTCGTCGCCGGATCGCGCCGCTCCAGCGGCGCGCCCGGGGCGCCTGGGAGTATACCGGGCCCGAGGACTACATGAGGACCCACCAGGGGTGCAAATGGGACTGGGACCCTGAGGTCTTCAGGATGGTGGTCCAACGGGTGCTGAATCTCAGCTCCGTGGAGGCATCCCTCATCCCCCAAGGGGTCCTCCCCCTCTGCTGCGATCCAGAGCGCGCCAAGATCCTGACCATCATGCAGGTGGTCGGGGCGTCTGGGGAGCGGGCCCCCCGAGGCCACGATGGCGCGGGCGGGAGCCGCAGGGGGGAACAATCTACCCCGGGAGGGGGTCGTGCTTCTGGGCCCCGCGACGGGGGCCCGGGGGGCAGCCGCCCTGCCGAAGCCCGGGGGAAGAGGAAGCAGGAGGGTACTCCTCCCCCATCTCCTCCCCGAGGGGGCGGGGCGGTGCGTGCCAGCAGCAGGCGCCCGGAGGGTGCCGTGCCGACGCCGCAGCCCGAGGGGGAGCGAAAGAAGAAACGGCTCCGCAAGATGGGGGGGATCGTACCATGCCGGGGGAACCTCATCTCGCCCCCAAGGTGGTCGTTTAGCCGACCTCCCCGCAGGTTCGTCCCCGCGCCCACCGCGGCCGTATTCATTCTCCCATCTCCCAAGGCGAGTTTTCACTCACCCGTTTCTTTTTGTCTTCTGGTTTTTCTTCTGCCTCAGCGAGATCCCGTCGCCCCCCCCCCCCCGCCATTCCTAGTCCGGCCGGTCTGAGGCCGAGGAGACGGCGACTGCGGAGGCCCGGAGGCGGGAAGCTGACCGGCGAGAAGCCGCGGACCGCCTCCGGGAAGCCGAGGAGGCTGCCCAGGAGGCCGTCCGGGTTCGCCAGGCTGAGGAGGCCGCTCGGGAGGAGGCCAGACTCCGCCGGGCCGGGGAGTCCGTCCGGGTGGCAGAGGCGGCGCGCGCACGCCAGGTGGCCTGCCAAACCCCCGACTCGATTCCGCCCGAGGCGACGACGACTTCAGAGGCCACCCATGACGAGGCCGCGGGCGCGCCGCTCGGGCCCGACCCCTCGGGCGACGCTTGGGACGAGCCAGGTTCGGGGGGCGCCCCCGAGTCCGGCACGTCGATCGGCGGGCCGAGCCGCGCGGCACCCACACCGAGGGGGCTCTCCCCTCGGCCTTCCGCTGCCCCACTGAGCACGGAGCCCTTCCTGCAGGCCTTGGCCGCCGCGAACAGCACGGTGCTGGACGGGTTAAGTGCCCAGATGGAGGCCCTGCAGGCGGAGCGGGCGGAGCTCGACGCGGCGTGGGCGCGCGTCGAGGAGGGGCGGCGCTCGGTGGAGGCCATGGTGGAGGCGGGTCGCAAGGCACACCGCCGGCACGCCTCAGAGCTCGAGGCCCGTCGTAGGGACCTGGCGGAGATCGCCAGGGAGGTGGAGGAGGAGCGGGAGACTGCCCTCATCGCCACCGCCGTGCTCGACGAGGCGCGGAATGACCTCCGCCTCCAATACGGGAGCCGGGCGGCGGAGCTGGAGGAGAAGCTCGACGCTGCCCGGGGGGTCCTTGACGCCGCCGCTGCCCGGGAACGGCGGGCGGCGGAGAACGAGGCGGCGTCCCGGTGGCGCGAAGAGGCCCTTGAGGCTCGCTCCACGGCGCTGAAGGAGCGCGCCCGCGCCCTGGACGCGAAGGAGAGAGACCTGGCGGACCGCGAGGCCGCCGTCGCACGAGGCCGCCTGCGCCGAAGAGGAGTCCGCACTCCGCTTCCGCGAGGACGCGCTCACCGAGCGGGGGCGAGCTCTCGAGGAGGCCGAGGCCGCGGCGCAGCGGCTGGCGGACATCCTGTTCCTCCGCGAGGCAGCGCGGGAGGAGCAGGCGCGCCGCAATCTGGAAGGCGCCCGCGCCGAGAGGGCCGCACTGGATCAGCGGGCCGCTGAGCTCGAGGCGCGGGCGAAGGAGCTGGACGGGAGAGCGCGCAGCGGCGGGGCGGCCGCGGGCCACGGCGACCTAGTCGCCCGCCTCGCAGCCGCCGAACACACCATCGCCGAGCTGCAGGGCGCGCTGGACTCGTCCGCCGGGGAGGTCGAGGCCCTCCGCTTGGCGAGCGAAGTAGGGCCCGGCATGCTTTGGGACGCCGTCTCCCATCTAGACCGCGCCGGGCGGCGGGCGGGCCTCTGGGGCGGGCGGC